TAATGATTAATCTGTCAAATTGACAGAGTTCATTTTATGTGGCGTAAATGTCAAAAAAGCTAATATTGACACGTTTTTAGTCTTCGAGATTCAATTACAGAGAAATTCAAGAATTGGTAATAGCATTGTGCAACACCACTTTAGTCACGAGATTGGCTTTACACTACTGAAGCGCAGGGGAGCGAGTGTTTAATAATCGAGTCTCTCGACCGTTCTACGCCCACCACTTTACGTCAAAATACCGTATCGCTTCAACCTTATTAGTATTGCAAATAACAAAGTGAAATAAATACTTGTTTCACTAGATTTCAAAATTATTGCGATATATTGAATTTCTCAAGAATTTGGTTTGCATCGATATTGTCACACATTTCGCTACTTACCGAAAATTTAAACAAATGTCTACCTAATAATATATCAGGAAGCACACACATGAATATTTGATTGACACAACTTATTATCGTAGAAATTGACGTTAGTGATTTTTATTGTATAAATATAATAAATGACGTTTGCCATTCCCCAAGCAATTATATAGAGATTGGTTCATTAATTTTAAATTGGGAAACAAAATTAAATGTACAGTTCTGATGATATAAATATTTATTTTTGTTATTTTTAATTAACAATGTCCGAAATGCTGTTAAACTCCTTAGCTTTGGATATTCTTTAGCATATTCAAGCATTTGTAGGATGGGTTACATTAAAGAAAAGCGAAATTAATGTTAGGTAAACGGTGTCAACATTTCCATTTTTAGTGGTTGCATTAGTCTATTACTATTATAATATAATAATAATAAATTAATAATAGCACTTGACTATTTACATAAGTTATTATAATTTACATAAACAATTAGGAGCTACGCAAAGACATACTAGCTATATTTTTGATTTTTTTAGACAAAGCGCATTTTTAATATTATCCTGCAGTTAATTAATATAACGAACACCATCGTAGAATATAGTTTTTTGTAGTTTTGACCATGGGGAATGCTCAAAACTGCAATGGGGAATAGGAGGAATATTTTTTCCAAATATAATTTCAGTCAGCTTGATTGGTGATTACGCGCAATTCCATCAACCAAAATTAATTTTTTTAATGACATTTGATATTTAGCCAGTTTGGCTCTCTTACTCTTTACAGATGTATATGTATCACAATGCTATATATAAGGAGTGAAAGAATTGTATGAGAAGTGGATTATAATTATACACTATGTCTTGGTCCATTGCGATAAAAACTGCCATACACGGTTAAAAAAAAGACAATATTTTTGTCAAATATCTAAGTGACATGCTTACTAAAATAAAATCACTCCGAAGTATTTAATTTCGGAAAAAAACCCAATTTCATCACCCTGTACATATACCGAATACCCGAGTTATAGAATTTTTGACAGTTAATTTTATGATGAGGTCTGTCAGATAAAATGTTCTGTACCCTTTCTAGTGCAGAGACTTTAATGCCATATAAACCTAATTTATGGTTATGGTTAGGGTACTGTTCAACTACAAATTCGTTTTATTGACCCGCATTTTTCACATTTTAACAGTGTTGTCCCGTTCCCGCTAGGTAAGTAGCAAGCAGCTAGTAGCAAAAAGCATCTTCTATTGCGTCTGATGGTTAACAACCCGACTGATCAACTTACAGGTGGCTAGGATAATGGACTTCTGCATCTCCAGATAGATGCTCAGAGTTGTTGAGTTGGTTTTTAATGACCGGCGGGTCCAATTATTGCAGATATTTTATGTACTCGATTGGCACGCCATGTTTGTTTGAAATCTTCGTCCAGTTATTGGTACTTCTCTTTCTTCTCTATATTTATCGGTGCAGGTATGGCAGTATCGACTAGGGCAAGAATCTTCTCTATCGTGTCGTAAATAAGACTGTCTGGTCTATTGAGTTGGACTACTTGATACGTCTGAATGCTCTTATCCTAGTAAATTAATAGCTGATTTTAGAGTGTAACTTTGGTAGACCAATTTGCGGGCTACCTCTTGATGCCATTTTTTTTACCGCCTTATTGTGTCTTTCGGTATATTCCCTTGTCGCCAACATCTTACATCCGCTGATCAGATGCTCAACATTGCGTTTTAGATAACAACGGATGGTTTTGGCCTATTAGTGACCATTCTCATATATATTCCTAACTTAGAAACTAAAAAATCCATTATTTTTAACCTGTTCATAACGACAACTCTCAAAAAGGACCCATCATGAGAATTACCTAGTATACAGTATAAGAGCAATACAATATTCGGGAATTATCCTAATTATAGTTTACATTTTACCTGTGCCAAACTTTAGTCGCATCTTCAATCCTTGTCTCAATATTCTCTACTAAATTAATATTTTGAGTATGGACACAAAAAGAAAACGTCTTTCAATTAAAGAAAAAATTGATATGGCCAATGAAAGTAAAAAAAGTGGTTTAAGCGTTAGGAATATTCTGTACAAATTAAAGGGGTTCTGTTTGAATTTTGGGCCCCGATATAGGTAAGTGCTTGTTTCCAGGCTTACAAAACAAATTAAAAACAGTCTGGTGCGCAGCAAGTCCTTCAGCTTTAGGAAACTTTTATTTTTTGTTATCACAATTGGTACAAATTTTTATCTTCTTAACTTATTTTTCTTCCGTCAAAGGTCATCTCGTATTGTCTACCTCTAGACCAAGGCATTATTCAGAATTTTAAGATCCTCTATGAAATGATCTTATTATTTACTAGACCAAGAAAACAGCAAGGCGAAATTTGCAACCGATAACTTTCAAAAAGTACTTTTTTTTGCTTGATTTGTTTCCTACCTTAAATAATACTTTTTTGGAACTGAAACAATTTTCATTAATTGACAGCTCAAGGGCCTTTTCTACATGTCTTTTAAATTCTTTATTACTCAGTGCTCTCACTTTTCATAGTAGTCTTTTTTTATTATACAAACGCAGATTTAAGGATTTTTTTGGCATTTAGTATATTTAAAGTTTTTGTTGCGAAAGAAGTCACTGGTAAAAATTTCTAGTTTGGAATGTAAAGATCTGAACCGGCAGATAGAGCACATTGTAACTAAATTACTTCAAGTATTGAAATTGTGGTTTTTAAGTTTTTCAAAGGGGTTAAAGAAATAAGTTTGATAATCGCTGCTCTAGACAAGCTGCACACTCTATTAATTTAATTATTAATTAATCAAGTGATTTAAATCAAACTCCTATTTTTTAAAATATTGTTTTATTGAGATCAACACAAAAAGCATAACGTAAAAATATTATCATAAATAAAAAGTAAAACACAATCTTTAAAAAAATAAGACAAATAACATTATAATATACACTTTATGCATTTACATTTTCGTTTCATAGTTGAAAAAAAAAACTAATTTCCCCCCCTTTCTTTCTCTTCTTTCGTTCTTCTGACGCTGTCGAAGCAATTGCACACAGTATTTTATTATTGGTAGCTTCGTAATTTTTGGCCAAATCTTTTGTTATTTCATCTGAAAACAATATTTTTAATTGGGCAACTGCGGGCATTCAACTTTATTACTACTGGCAAAAATCCAGTGTTTATACACTATTAATTGTTTCTAAAGCCAGATTCCATTCTTCGGGTGTAACCTCATATTTTTGCTTTTCAGGGTTAAACATATAGCTAGATGGTTTTCGCGGAAATACTTAACAATTTGGACTACATGCTCTTATCTTAAAATACGTGCAGAGCCGCCATAAGTTATAACTTTTCAGTCCGTCTTTTTCTCCAAAGTTTTTCTCGTGAGGGCCATATGTGCCGCGTTATCTGTCTGTCTTACCTCGCAGTCATATTATGATTTACATGAAGAAATTAGGTCACAAACTACTTCAGTAAAATATTGTTAAGTATGAGGTTTTCCGGAAGCATCCCTAGTTTGGTAAAGAAGTGCTCGTCCATCTTCAGTTGTTATTGTTGGTTGTCGGTGAGGTTTTGAATAGTTTTTTATTTCAGAGGTTTCAATACGTCGAAAGCTCGAATCAGTAGCAAAAATTGACTTTTTGTTTTTGCTATTTGTTTTTCAATCTTTTCTTTTTCAGCTGTTGATGTTTGCATTACGAAACAACTCAAATTAGACTGTTTTTCAGTTTTTTTCTTCTTCTTTGTTTGAATCTCTTCTTTGTTTGGACTTTGCGGATCAAGTAGCAAGATCTACAGAACTGTCAAGCGACATTCGAGTGCCTAAAAAGAAAATCAATACATTAAAAACATTATTCATAAATTTATACCATTGTTAATAAAAGATAAACCAGAACGCGCCCAACTTTCCTTTAAAGAATTAATAAAGTTTTTATTGGATTTTATTAAATTCTACCTTTTACGAGATGGAAAGTTAAATAAAAATGAAATATGTAATAATAAAATATTATTTACCTACCTGTATTCGTTTCTTTCACAAACTTCATGTGCTTTAGGTCTTGGAACCATCCCTTGAATTGTTTCTTGAAGATTTTTTACAAATCGCCCTACACCCAGATTTATTTGGATCTCATATGCCCTTTTCTTCTCTTCCAGTTTTGACCTAATGCTCTATTTTCCACTAGTTCCACTCCTTTGACAAACCACGAACTAAATTCGCGAGACGTATTCGACAACGACAATTTATAGATCTGGAAAAAAATTACTACATATTGCGGCCATGTAGTTAAATTTATTTTTAGTAAGTTTTAATTAAAAATATGAATAAATAAATAATGTAAATTACCAGCGCTTTCTTTAATTTCTGATGTCCTTTTAAGCGATTAATATTTGAATCCTCAAGGTTGCCCTTTAGGTTTTTTAATATTTTATCATCATCATTAATATCAAATTATCTAAGCCGTATTGTTTTACCCTGAATTATAAGTAAATTAAAATCACATATTCAATGAATTGGTTATGTGGAAAACTAGCTATATATATGGATAACGAATCGTGTCAGCTTATTCAGTATAATAAATGAGATATTTGTTTATATATTAGTAGTTAACGATATTTTCTTATTTTAGTAGAAAAACACCATGCCATCGGTGACGCAATGCGAGCCGACCCAGGCGAACTTGGCGACTCTCTCCGCGCTCGAGATCTTCGACATATTTAAATCCAATTCAGATAACGACAAACACACGGATGCCAGCTCGGAAGAGAGTTTCCACCTCCAGCTGGACGAGGACGACACTGAAAGTACCAATTTTCTTATCGTTGTCGATCAGCTCACCTAATTCTTTGCGTTTACAGGCCGATCGAACGTCTCGAGCGGCAAAGATAGAGAAGAAACCGAAGAGGATATCCTAAACAAGTTCGAAACGGCGACGAGCTGCGACCCCGACCATTTGGACGCCAAAACCGAGGACAGGATTCTCAATGACGAGGAGCACAAAAACGTCAATTCGACGACAAAGACGACGGTTGAGTTAATCGGAAGCGACAAATACGAGAAAACCGGCAACGGCGAATTCAAAAGTGCTTACGAACTCGAAAACCCAGAGTCGGAAAACGCGAAAGCCGAGCGGAACGTCCAAAACGACACGGAAAAAGAGACCGAAATAGCTCGAAACACCGATCAGAGTGCCGAAAATAGTGATCGGGTTTCGGAAACGGAAGCAGACGAAGAAGAGAAAATGATCGAGAATGAAGGGAGAGAAGAGGATGAGAAAATGCGAGTTTGTAAACATAGTGGCCGTATTGATATAGAGAATGACTCGCTTTTACAAGAATTGGAGGCGACCATCGCCGACAACCGGGAGCAAGGCAACGAGGAAGCGAAATTTCCCGAAAAGCCCAAGGAGCCAGACGAGGTTTCCAATCAGAAAGCTCAAGAAAACGAATACGACCTGCTCGACATATCTGTGATCCGAGACTGTGAGGAAGACGACGCGATCGCGACCGCTTTGGAAGATAACACAAACGCTGACAGTGATAAGGAGTCTCATTCCAGCGAAAAGTCTGACGAAGAGCAGGGCGAAAGAACGGAGAACGAGGCAAGTGAGGGAGAGAAAGAAGACCCGGAACTCGCGGAAGAAGAGAGCGAAACCGTGGACCAAGAAGAAGGTGCTTTGGTTAGTGATAGTGAGAGCAAGGAGAACCCGGATGTGGCTAATCCGAAACTTAGTGAGCTGTTGGAAGATGGTGACGAAGAAATGAAAGAACAAGTGTCGGGCGCTGCAAGTGACGAAGCAAAGGTGCCCAGCGGTGAAGTGAGTGAGGTGGAGCAATCTAAAGAAATTATTTTAGACTCTGACGCTGCGAACGGCCAAAACAGCAACGTTGAACGGGGGTCTGTGAAGGAGGCGACGGAGCTTGAACCTGCGAAAGCACTGCAGGAAAATGAGGAAACTGATAAAGGTATGTTACGTTTATGCATTACTAGTTTTAAATCCCACCTTAAAGCGCTTCGCAATAAGCTTGGCAGTATAGGCAGAAGAAGATCAATGCCATGCACCAGCTAGGTTGACCTACGCCCTTTGTCTAGCAGCAAAAAGCGAGATAAATCTTATCAACAATAAAACAAACAGAAAGCTTTCAGCAGCGTTTCAAAAAAGAATGTTTTTCCAGCAATATATATTCAGTGAGCACTTCCCTGGGCTCTATTGTCTCGAAAACTAATAAACGCAGCAATTAATACACTCTCATAATAGAAGACAGATAAACCTGTCAATCAGTATCTACAACACCAGCAACGCACACAAAAGTGGGATTATAATTTCTACCAAACCCTTGAAGAAGGTTGTTTTAGCGGGCGTATTCCGTTTCTTTCATGTTATCAATAATGGTTATGAAATAAGCCTTAACTGGTTGCTTATTGTGCTTAAAACATAATGATAATACTCGTAATAGTAAGTCTGGCCTTAAAGCCATTCACATTTAACCTATATCTATAAACAATCTTTACATACCAAGTAAAAGTAAGCCTAACACTATAAAAATAATATAAAACTATAACAGTAATTAAACAAAGAAGAACCTTATTACAACATGCAAAGTGCAAAAGTAAATGCCTTTTTAAGTAAAAGGTGAAAGTTTTGCATGTTAAAGGAAACTGTGATTTGAGAACATGATCTAAGGACTTGAACAAAATTACAACGTTATATGTAAAGGAACATCGAAATTTTGCGTTTGTGTGTAACGGCATAGTGAGCGTGGCTCGGTGTATTAAATTCAGATCATGAATTGATTTCCTAAATACTAATTGGTCATCCAAATATTTAGGAATGCTGTAATTTATCACATGTTTCAAAGAGCATCGAAAGTTGTGCTTTATTTTTATTTTTAACCAATACAATTTCTTGAATGCTCCGGATATATGATCAAATTTGCGCAAGTTAGAAATAAAGCGACAACAAATATTTTGAATTTTATGTAGCCGATAAGAGGTGACAGTGTCTAAGCAGGGTTGGGATATTGTGTTTTCATGGCATACAACAATACATCTATTTTTATTTAAATATAAAAATCACAGACTCATATAACACTGTTTGGAGACATGCGGGACATGATCCAAAAAGGTCATATTCTCATCAATATATAGACCCAGATTTTAGACTCTACAACTTGAATAGGTTGTCCACATATAGTTTCATCCTGGGCTTGATGTCGATGGGTTTAAGCGTAAATTATGCCTCTCTGCAATTCTGTCTATATTTTCTAAATCCCTATTTATGATGTTCGCTGCATATAGAAATGAAAAATAATAAAGGTCCCAATACTAAGCCTTGCGGCACCCCGGATAAAATATCTCGTAGCTTTATCTAGTTTTATCTAGCAACCGTTTATATATACGTTCTTTCTTCAAATTCAATATACCGACATTTGGTAATCGACAATTTATGATTAATAGTATCGAAGGCCATTGTGAAATCCAGTAGAACCAAAGCTGTCGCCATAGTCTAACCGTGCTTTCTAAAACCACATTGGTGAATTGGAAGCAGCTCATTCACAGCCACATATTCATTTATCCCTTTGTATACCACTTTTTGCAGAATTTTGGACAATTTTGGTAATAAGGCCTCAAGTCTCCAAATACGGACGGATCAGTATTGTTGAATAAGCTGAGAAATATCATCAATTCAAGACAACAATTCACTAAATGACAAATGTATTAATCTATTGCTAGCATACATAGCTTTACCATCTCCAATGTGATAGCACCAGATTTTATTTCTGATACAATTTAAAAGCAAAATTAGATGCATTACTGATTTTGTTACTATTATAAAAAGTTATGGTAGATGCATATTTGTCATCACTATTCTCGAACAAGGAAACGAAAACACGATTAATTTGTTCTGGATTGTCCAAATTTCGTGGTATCTCTATAGTTATCTTATTTTCTAGATGTTCATTTCTTTTATAGCCTTGAAAAATAATGAAGAGCTTTTTTGTCGTAAAAATTCTAGAATTCTAGACTGTTTTTTCATGCCAGGCTTAGGTTTAGAACATTGAAAAGATATTTCACCAAATACAAGATGATGATCCGATTTGTAAAGAATGGGTCGAGGGTGAACGTTTCAGATATTTCAGTTTCCCTAACCTTAATTTTTTGTGCGCATCTGCTTTAATAGTTTCTTAATAGCTCCAATTTCGTATCCCCCTACAATAATAAATTTTACTCACTGCAGGATGACTGGTAGCGATATTTAAGTGTTTACCTGTTAGGGCGAGGTACCCACCATGGCCATAAGAATTAAAAAAAAAACAAATACCGTGTCCAAAATATTTGATTGCATACTCTGGACTAACTTGTAAATCTAAACGAAGACGAATTTTTGTGAGGCTTGCATCAATCAAATGTCTGCTGGTTTCGTTGCTAAGTTAAGTCTACTTACTGATTTTACACATTTTCTGATGGAGATAGAAATTCATATTCTAACGGCTTATTGGTATACACTGGTTACGACTGTAGACATGAAAAACCGTTTAGCAGAACTAACGGCTTATTGGTATACACTGGTTAAAGTGTAGAAACAGAAAACCGTTTAGTAGAATTTTTGTCATTGTCAAAAATGTTGAGTTAGCCATAACCTCGTCTTCAATGAACAGTTAACGGGATCGTGAAATATTTTGAGATAAAACTGCCATATCCCAACGAAAAACTGCCGAATTGACAAACTATCAGCGGCCATATTGGTTGTTAAACACCGCTAGGTCCTACCGGTTGACAGCGACACTTGAAATGATCGAGCAAGCGCATATTGAATGATTCCTCAAAAGAGTTTAGTCGATTCCTTTATATACCAGGATCATCTGAAAAAACAAACCTAACAATGTTACAAGACATTTTTTCTCCTCATTTTTTTCTACATAGTCTCCTTGTAATTCTATACACTTCTCTAACCCGTCCAAATAGTTCCTAAAATTTTTGCCGAAAAATAATTGTTCACGAATGTGATTACCTCCTCATTTGACGAAAAATTTTTTCCTCCGAACTCAGTTTCCACATAAGACAACCAAAAGAAGTCGCTTGGGGCTAAATCTGGTGAGTAAGGCGGACAACCAAGCAGTTCAAACCGTAATTCGTGCAAATGTGGGCGTTTTTCCATAATTGCTCAGGTTGTCAAGTAATGATGCGTAGTATGCTCCGGGAATAGTATTTCCTTTTTGAAGGTAAGATGAATCCATGATTATCGCAAAAAACAGTAGCAATCACTTTTCCAGCCGTTTTTTTTCTCGGAGTCCGGTTCCTCCTTCGCAGTCCACTGTTTTGACTGTATTTTTGATTCGGGCGTATAATGGTGCACCAAAAATCAAATTTGTTGGGCCGAAATTGCACTAACAGAGGGTTGATTTGAACACTTTTGTGCTAACGCGAGTAAACGCGGCACCCAACTCGAGGACAGCTTTCCCATGCCTAAATCTTGATTTAAAATGTGACAAACACATCATTCGGACATTTTTACAACCTCTGCCATCTCTCTCACTTCAATTCGACGTTCGTTTAACACCATTTGATGAACTTTAGCAACATAACCGTCGATAGTTGTAGTTTTTGGACGTCCCGAACGCTCATCATTTCCTAAGCTCTTACAACCACGTCTAAATTCAGTTGTTAAAAATTTCACTTTGGTAAATGGCGGTACAAAGTCCCCATACACAGAGTCCATTTAACTTTAATTTGCGCAGACGTATTGCCTTTCAAAACAGCTCTGTGCTCAATTTTTTCCACTTTTACGAAAACACTAACATCGATTCAATCAAACAACTCAACCACTCGTCCAAAATGGGTGAAACTTTCTTTCGATATTTCTATAAAAGGTACAAGAAAATCTCAAACCAAAACAAAAAAAAGGAAATAACAATAGGGAATTTAGAAAATAACTTAAAGACCTAATAGGAATTTTTTGGCATTTCATTCATAGTGCGTAAGGTGACCAAATAAAAATGTACGCAGCTCTGTACCTCGGAAACTGTTAATAGTCCAACCTTTTATGACGAAGGAAATTATAGTTTTATGTGATTTTATCATGTAATCTTGAAAAAGGACAAATAATAAGAATTAATACTGACTGGTATAACGTATTTCTAAATTTTATGATAATTTCTTGGATGTTACGGACTAGGAAGAACATATTCAGACAATGTTTTCGATATACCATACCAGGTATCATGTCGCTATTTTCCTATGAGAACAAGTCATTAATTTTTTAGGTTATATCAAATACCGCTCTCTAGCGGTACTATTATCATAAGTAACGTGAGCTTTATAGAGCGAGACGAGACGACGTTTATGGCCATTAAAAAATGTCACCTCCCACCACTTTATTTTAATAGAAGATACGTCAAGTAGTGTTTAACAAGATTTACTCGAATAATAAAATAACATTTTTCGAGATACGTTCTTATCATTCTTATTATATCACATAATGATCTGATCATTGACCCAACTATATCGAAACAGAATATTTATAAGTCAAGAATTTCTAAAGTTAAAAAAAAAACTCAAAAAATATGTTGAATAGTACGAGAATATAATGTTGTATAGAAGGAAATCAGGAAACATATGAAAATATGTATGATACACCCTTCGAATAACCTGCTTTTGGTCATATTTTGTATTTTTAAATCGAATGATCACTTGATTTTCTGTTGACGTATTTCCCATTGCTAATGGAACAGTATGTGTATATCTACTTACATTAGTAATTAAAAGTGTGTTTTCGCTTTGATTTTTTAGCTATGACTTATTATTATGTTTTTTTCATTTTTCATTCATATTAATTCAAATTCAAATATTGGCGAAAAATTTTGTTTATTTTGTTTCCCTTTCTTAAATATCGGATACTTCGAATTGTTATGAACAAACATTTTGAATATCGACATCATGCTAAATTATTGTTTATAACCTGTCATGTGTATAAATTTTAAAAAGGCATATACTAAGAAAAACTCAAGAAGTAACCTACAAAAATTAACCTCTCCCGGTATTTTATAAAATTTCGTCAAATGTTGCCGTTTTGAGTCTTTGACCGATTTTAATAATCCATAAGGAATAAACCAACTGTTGATGAAACAATTCTGTTTCAATCAACTGTGATTACTTCTGCAACAAGCCTCCAGCTGGGATCTTTTCAATTTCACCAATTTGAAAATAGATGTTGATAAAATAAAACAATTTTGCCCATGATCAGTCAAAGCGTTTCGCTGGACTCTGGCACCTTCGCAAGTGATTTATTTATTAATTTAATTCAAAATCATTCGAAAATGAGCAACCTTGGAAACAAAAGTGATTTGATTCGATTTTTGTTGCCAACTTTACAGCAACTGATGTATGATACGGACGGGTCATTATGGCAATTCCCTACGGTAGTAACTGACTAAGTTTAAGTTCAGAGAGCAGGATATGGATCCAGCCATTATTCAATTCCATTCAATTTGTGTTCCTTTGATTATTATTATATATTATTGTTACACCTTTACTCCACTAATACAACCGTCGATAAGATCGATCAGATTTACAGTCTATTTCAGAAACGTGTGGAGTAATAAAATCTAATTAGGTATGCAGCGGTGTTACAGAGTGGACCGACGAATAGTTAAGCCACCTTCATTGTGAGGCATTCATTTCGTTTGCCCATTATTATCCAACACCAAAATATTCCTCAGAATAATCCGAATTCGTGTTTTCGTGGGTTTGACAAATATGTCGCGAGTGTCGTGGAACTCAGAGCAAACGATGTAGTAGTAAGATCTACGGAACTGTCAAGCGACGTTCGAGTGCCTAAAAAAGAAATAAAAACATTAAAATCATAATTTATATATTTATACCATTGTTAATAAATGATGAATCAAATAAGCGCCCAATTTTCCTTGAAAAATTATTAAAGGGATTTATTGGATTTTATTAAATTTATACCGTGGTTTTTAAAAACTTTGTAAATCATGTACATTCTTTCCTAAATAAAATATGCATGAATTCAAATTTTGTCAAGAAAAGGCAAAAATGACACGACATTTTTAAGTAATAGATACCTTAGTTCTTTTGGAAACGTTTTTGTGAATACCATAGTTATACATTTTACAAAAGGAAAAGTTAAATAAAAATTAAATTAGTAATAATAAAACAAAATATTATTTTTCCACCTGCGTTCATTTCTTGCTGCTTATCGTCACGTAATACTTTGTAATTGGAAATACATATTCTTACGAAATTAAAAAAAATCAATTAAAATAAAAAATATATATATATCATGATTTAAAAAAGAAAAGCACTGCTTACGAAGGCACGGTTCGTAAAAATTTAAGAGCCAAATTCATCGGCAGATGAGGTGCTTGTCCTTCTGAAGACTAAGGAGAGAGTCATCAGAGAGCGAGAGAAGGGCGGGGGATTGTATGCGGAGCTCTGAGTGTCCCCTGTTATACTATTTGAGTGCATAGGCGCGTGTTTCTCTTGCAGAAAAATCAAAATCATCGGGGCAGAAGAGGTCGTTGTCGTCGACTGATTTGGAAAATGCCAACCTCGCCCCGAAAAAGATCAAATTGGTCGACAACGAAACGGCGGACGTCCAGACAAGTGACAAAGTGAAAACTTTGTCGGCCTTCGCCAAGTTCATGCAGTGCCGGCGCTTCGCTTCGAAGTTATCGAGGTCGGATTTGGAGCAGTTCTGCATTCAAAAAATATGCGAGTGCGTGATGATGAAAAGTAGCGAGGGCGAGCTGCACCAGACGATTAAAAAGCAGGAGAAATGCATCGAAAACCTGAAGAGGGACATGCAACAGCTGCTAAAACAGTCGAAGGACCTAGAGATCGTCAACAAGAAACTGATGAGCGAATTGAGAAACCAGAACACGCTGAAAAAGCCGCTGGTGCCGTTAAAAATTACGCGTTCAGTAGGACTCCAAGTGCGGATGAATCCGGGCAACGATGCGGCGAACCAAAGGAAGAGGCCGCTACCTTCGCCGCAGAAACAAAATCCGACCGTCCAGGCGGTCGGAACGACGGTGGTGAACAGGGCGAGATCGACACCAAACGCTTCGCCAGTCGTTAAGAAGGTTTGTCCCAATCGGGTGCACCCCCAAAATTTTGCAAGAATTTTTTCCCAAAAGGATTTTGCTACCTAATTTTACACCAGGTTTCTAAAATCCACTTAGTGATGTGGCAAATATCGCACACACTATTTTTTGTGTATAGGTACTCGTAGGAATGTGTTTGCGAAAGTTTAACTGCCAAAAATTGAACTTTCAGTTTTGTATTTGACATTTCCATGACTGAACGGTTTGAAGAACAACCGTTTCGATGCAAAGTTTTCATTTCGTTAACGGGCTCAACCAAATAGAATTTATCTACTTTTTGATGACATTATCTTAAGAGCTTAGCAGTGGCTGGGAGGTTACTATAGGTAGTTCGGGCTCTGCAGTGTTTTCTACCACATCAACTTCCCACAGTCTTTATTCCCTTTTGTGTGTGGTTTTATGCCAATTCTATGGGGTTTATTCACACTGACATGGCAGAAGGTGAAGTACCGCCATACACTGGCGAGCAAAAAATTTGTGGCCAATCAAGAAATTACCAATTACGAATCTAGTAGGTGGTAAATTTTTTATGCTACTCTATTTGGTTAACTGAATTTAACATTTAATCAAAAAATCTTGTGCTGGTTTTCTTGATTTTGTCGGAAAACACAAAATGTCTATTACAAACAAAGCTCATTTAATTTTTATTTATTGCTAAAGAAACGAGTAAAAATGAACAATATTGAGAAAACTTGAAAATGAATAACATGTATTGCCTCCTCTTGCGTTTATGACTGCTTGTAATCGACGAGGCATGCTTTGAACTGTTCTATTTCTGCATTAGCAAGTCTCTCAACTCTTGGGCAATTCTTCGAGCTGATGTATGTCATCGAATACGTCGTTCCATTTCACCACACGGACGTTCGATGGGATTCATGTCTGAGTTGAGTGTTGGGCAATCAAACCTTCTAATTCCCACCTCATACAGATATTGACTGACAATTCTGGCGGTGTGGGGTCTAGCATTATCGTGCACAAAAAAGCCATCTTCGCCCATAGTGATCATCCAGAATTTCCCTAATGTAAACCATGTGCCAAATAGACAACCGACTAACATTCTGGAAACCCATAGGAGATATGAAAAAAGTTTCTTTGACTGAAGATTTAAAATATTATAGTTTTGTTGATACAGGGTGTCCCAAAAGTGTCCCCGACATCAACTTTGTTATTTTAAAGGAAACACCCTATATATTTCGACATTTTTGAAATTTTTGGTTAAAATAAAGGTCGCTTTCTTAAGAAATTCCTACTCAAATTTTGCATAGTTTAGGCAGAAATTGAGGTTGTGTGTTTTTTTTATATTTTGTGTTGTGACGATTGATCGAGGTATTGTAACGAAAATATAACCACAGACTAAGGAGATGATGCACTACTCAATCACTTTGACAGATTATACAGGGTGTCCCAAATAGGTGGTGCCGTTTTTGCGAATTGAATTAACAAAATCTCAAGATTGGAACACACTATATTTTTATTCAGATATCAATTTAAGGACAAAAAGTAAAGTAAGTTTGTAATTTATCTTATATTTAAATTTTACTTACTTTTTGAGATATTCGAGGTTTAAGATAACGCCCGTATAAATTCTTGTTAAATGTAATGCCAATATTAGGTATTTTTTAAATAGCAAAGACATGATACTACTTCTTACACATTAATACGTGCAAATTTTGAAAAAAAAATCGACTCTATACTACACACTTTAACAGATTTAATAAAACTTCAGAATTCATATTTAAAGAAACATTTAATGGTTAATTATCTAGCTTCATTGAAAATGTCTAATAACAAAAATAAATAATTAAAGTTTATAGGCTAACTAAACAAGGTAACAAATTTGAATAAATAAATCTATATAAAAAAAAACAGAAACGAATTACTTAAATAACCTCAATTTCTACCCAAGCTATGCAAAATTTGAATAGGAATTTCTTAAGAAAGTGAACTTTATTTTAACCAAGGATTCCAAAAATGTCGAAATATAGAGCGTGTTCCATTTAAAATAACAAAGTTGATGTCGGGGGGATACTTTTGGGACACTCTGTATCAACAAAATTATAGTGTTTTAAATCTTCAAGAGAGTCCAAGAAACTTTTGCACGAAATTTTTTTTCCTATCTCCCATGGATTTCCAGATCGTATAGTGGGTCGTTTTATTTGGCACACGGTGTACCTGTGAGCTGTCTGAGAGAAATTCTGTGGAAGTTTTTCATCAATACAACTTGGGGCATGTTTTCTCCGGACCTACTCCATAGTTTCCGACGTCCACCTGACCCAGTGACGCAAAATCATCGAAAATAAGTATCTTGCTCCATTCATAATCATGCCAGTCAAGTGATTTCGGGCAAAAACTAATCTTGCTATTCGATGCCGTCGGTGCCCTGTACGCATCCTTCGACAAAATAATCCATTAGCACTAAGCCTTCTTCTAACATTCATTCATTGAAATTCTTGAAATTGATTTCGAAACCAAACACAGCAGTAGGTGGGGCCTATTCCGCAAACCTGCGGAAACCAAAAATCGATCATCTCTTTGGTTGGTGATCCTTCTTCAACCGGATCCTGATCTTTCAGTGATCAAGCCATTCTCCTCGTATACTCCTACCAACAATTGTTTCAGTTTCCCGTTTTTCTCGATCATCTAACGTACGAATTTTTAATTTGACCCAACTTACGTTATTTCATAAAAAGTCGAAACTACGCTAATAGATAACAAATGCAAGTCGAAAAGCAAATAATTCACTGCCTACTAGACCAACGATTTTTTTTTGCTAATTATTTGAAATTTCTTGAGTAATCTAAATTTTTGGCTCGACAGGATATGTGGTTTCAAACAAATTTTACAATTTCACATGTTTAGCATATTTTTCTGAAATTGCTTCTTATTTGCCTTAATCCAATGAATGATGACATTTTTCCAGTGTTTTTTTCTTTTTTTTTTTGAGTACCTCTGAACACATTCAGAATAGCAATTGTATCTAAGTTGTGTAAGGTGGTCAAAGCGTCCGCAATTGGTTTATGCAAACCACTAGTCTGTTGTTCCTCATCATTTCCCAACAGTTTGGCAACTGTCAGGACAGTTTGAGGATAATGATCCAACAAATTATTGGCACATGCACGCATAAATATTTTCATTACAAAAGTAAAAAAGAAAAGCACAGTGTCGATTGGAAAATTCGTTTAGAAGAAAGAACTGAATATATATGGAGGTGTTGAGTTTTAATAATATCTTTCCTACTTTTTAAAAACAAAAATAAAATGAATAGAACCAAACAGTTAAAAAGTGGCTATTAGCGAGCAGCCTTTTCTCTCCCCTTTCTTCATTGAATATGGTTTTTCTCAAGTAATTTTCTAGTTTTATTTCCGTTCTATATTGCTAGTTTTTTGTTTCCCTTTTTGTGAGACGTAAATATCAAGGGATGTATATTTGTGTTTTCTACTATGGAAGTTTTTGTGAACGTAGGGAGCATATACTTTGTGAATAAATCAATCAGTTCAGCAATGGAAACTACATAAATTTATAGAAATGTAGATGGACACAAAAGTAAATACCGGGTGAATATTTAACATGTGCCCTCTCAACTTTTTTATTTAACGTTTGGAGAAAAAAACGTCAAATGCAAAAGTTGTTCAAAAAACAGTAAGCTGTTTGCAAGATATATTTCATTATACGCTTAATAAAATCCCACATTTCTTGTATATGTCCTATACCCAATTCCGGCAAAATTTTTAAAAATATATTTGCTTTTAACATAAAAGCGACTTTCAAAAATAAAATAATATTCTGGAATTTACAATTTATATATTAGGCGGCTGTGAAGTAGGTCGTCAACAAAAAACAAAATCTTCGTTTATAACTGACAGTGACAGTTACAGATTTAGCAAAACTATGCTCCTTTTATAATATGTATATAAAATGCCTTATTCGCAAAGAGAAAAACAATGAATTTTATAAACGTTTATTAAACCATATAAGGGGGCTAAATTGGCTCAACGGGAACTACGCGTAATTAACCCCTGAATGTACGTTTCAAACAACCAAAAATATCGTCGAATCTATAAAAAAAATTTCAACAAACATCCAGCCCAATCAGAGAGAAGAGAACATTTCGTATAATATTGTATCTTAATACCTAATTATATTGTAATACCTGTATTCTATAACTAAATTCAATAGTTTTCGAAATATTTGTTAACGCAACATTAAAAATATTCTAAAACTTATAATTCAGCTAGGTATAATATAGCATCTGATGCATGTTCCCTTTATTTGGAATTTGAACTTCTGTTCCAATCGGATTTTTTAGATGCTCTCTGTTTTCGATGCTATTTGCGTTTGCACAGCCTTTTAGAATTCCACATAAAAATTCATCCATCGGGGCGTCAGATCAGGACTGTTGGGTGGCCATTTTAGAGTTCCATTTTTTCCAATCCATTGATTAAACCTTTCATTTAAATAGTCTGTAACAAATACTACACAATGAAAATTTTGTGGTAGGCCAAGAGTGGTTTGACTCTCCCTTACAATGTACTCGTATTTTTTAAATCCTTAAATCACTATCTTCGTCTATTTCTAATGCTCTCTTCTTTCTTTACTATTCTTATTATTAAAATTGATTGTTTTGCAAAATCTGGATTTGGGAATAGAACATATTCCATTAAAAATATATAACTTTTGTCTGTAAGTGATTTCTGCAACGCCCTGTATAAATTAAAATATATCTTACAAATAGCTTACTGTTTTTTAACAACTTTTTTTCCCAAGCGTTAAAAGTTAAAGGGCGGGTATATAGGTACAAATAAACGTGATGAGATTTGTAGTCAAACTTTTATTAAAGTTGTATAAGTTGGTAAAAGGTCCATTATAAGGGTTTCAAAATTGTAATAAAGAAGCTCGTGATTTGATGTGGAAACAAACCTGATGAAATGCAATGAAACAATTTACTTAAGTCCTATGGAAATTTAAGAAATCAAAAGAAAAGGAATCAGGTCTCTAGCAGAATTTCGTATTAAATTAGATTTCTTTCGTCACATTAGTTTTCTTTAACCATAATGCCACGTATCCGTATTTAATCCGAATAAGTATTAACAAGTAGTCTGTAGCTTATTGAAAAAAAAAACAGGGGAAATGAATTTACAACTATCCAATTATCGCAATATTGTGCCTGAATTTTTTGTTTCACCCTGTAGATCAATAGAGCGACAAGGTGTTCTTATTGCGTTTTCCGTCCTGACCAATTAGATTTTTTTCGAATCTGGTCCACTGTCCTTTGTTCGAACGTTTGGGACTGAAGTTATTGTCACTGGTAGGTTTTGGCGACGACGCCTACAAAATCGCCATTGTCCACAACTCCCACCACAACGGCGTCGGTGGCGTCGAATCCGTTACTGACGAAAGCGTTGCAACTAAACAGGCGACCCGTGGTCTCCAAACGCATCGCGACCCCTAACGCCAGGCCAAAAGTGGTGGAACCCAACAAACCGGCCAATCCCGGAGTAATAGATTTGACCGACGAGGATGACAGAACTCTTAAGGGCGGCAACAAACCCGGCTCGATCAATAAAGTTGTGAGCCAGAAAATCGGCGGGAATCAGGTGAGTACTTTTTGATCAATTACGTAGGTGTGGAGTTAAAAATCCTTATCAAGAACTAGAGAATGACCCAATGAATACTTGAGCCATTCAGATTTTTTGGAATTGATTCCAAGTGTAGCTAGTACCATCCGAGTTAGCCTCAATTTATGGGTTTTGGCTATTGTTATCTCTTTAACAACATTCAACGTCATTCTTTTAAGATGGTGTTAGGCCTCGCTACAAATCCATTTACTTGCGCCTATGTCGATTCTATGGAGTTTAATTTACAGTGATGTGGAGGAATATGACATGCTGACTACTTTTTCTCCCGTGCTGTTGTTTTTTTCTACAAACTCTCTTACTTGCGCCCATTTCAGTTTTATAAGATTTAGTTCGCGATGACATGGCAGCAGCAGAGTGACACTATATTTTTCTGTTATGTCTGCCATTTCATAAAACGATGATTGTGTAAATTTGCTATTTTTAACAGTTCATTTTTTATCATATTATTTGAATCTAAATATTTTCTATGGCTAACCAATAGATAATTTCTCGTGGTCTTCAAGACGAAAGCTGGAGTCTTCTCTATGCGTTATCCATAATTACTGCTAGATATTTTATCATTTTACCAAAATGGTAAGATTAGCAAAGAGTAGCAAACCTTCTTTGAAAAATCCTTCTTCCCTATCATTATGAACGATTATCACAACCCAGCAATTTTTAAACTTTTGATAGTTGATCTCGATTTTAACATTTTCCCCTATCGCGTAAGGCCGATAAACTTCGTTTAGTGGATTTTCTTGTATGGACGGATTGTCTCTTTTTAATAACCAGCAACGTTCCATCGACCTTGATATCTGTGTTCTATTCTTTTCTGACTTGGTGTACCCTCTCACCTTGCTCCTCACTCACGGCACCAAGATTATCGGGAGAATAGGTCGTCAGATGTGAGTTTTATACATATATTTAGTTTTATATATATAGTGCTTCCCAGTTCTCTAAATTTCTCTAACATCTTTTTCAACAATGTAAATGTACTTTGGATATTTGTTGTTTCCTAGAAAATCTTTTATAACAACAATAAATGCAATCTTTTTAAATTCGATCATGTCTTCCATTAATCGTTTTATTTGAGGACCAACAAAAATTTCTTCCTTTAATTTTGCATCTGAGAGAGCGACAAATATTCGACATAAGTATTTAAAACATGCTCCATCTTTATTTAAAGCTTGGAAGTTTTTTTTATTTTAGTTGTTATTACACAACGTTTACCTACGCCAAGGGCCAACACCCAAATTGAGCGAAACTGGACGGATTTCCGATTTTATTACTCTACACTGTTCTGCTGAGCGAGTCTCATTATTTTAATGACAAATTTGGTCATGGACTTCGTATTTAGCGGTAAAGTCCAAAAAGAAACGTTTTTGATAGGTCGTCGAAAAAACAGTTGAACCAGAAGACGTGGGAGATCCAAGACTATAATTTTTTGAAAGGCATTATTTCAAAATTGTATAGAAAAACTGATATAGTTGTAGGTCTAACGCTTGTTATATTTACGATTTTCGCTTTTGCGCGCCCGTGTCAGGAGTGGCATAACTCAAAAGCATTCAGTTCCCACCCAAAAGTAGTATTATAAAAAAACAACCAAAACCAATACAATATTGAGCAAATGACAAAAATGATTGAGTCTCGGATTACAGAAAAACGGGTTGCACAAGCTGAATCATGCTATAGAATAATGAAAATAGGGCGAACAAAGTTACTGCCTACATAAAAATAATATAATATAAAAAAAATAATACTGTGATGGCCACTAGTAATAACAGTAATGAGAGGCAGCTGCAAGTTACTGGTTTGTTGTAGTAATTAAATACTGTTTGATGTGAGCAGCACGTAATTATTAATATACCTGGGCTATGAGGATGCAGAAAAACAGTAAACTGTTGCCTCAGATATTCAGGTTCACCAGAGTTCAAAATTCTATAGATAAATTTGTGCATGTGGCACTGTCTGCGATAAATCATGTTCAGTATACCACTCCAATTCAATTATGGCGTTTTATAAGAAACACGCATACAACAGTTTTGGACTTTCTACATAGAGTGAGTCGTATGAACGTTTTAGGAGAGAGAAATTATTTTAAAGCGCACAGTTTTTTAAACGAGCCATAGCAGTTTTGAGTCTGTTGTTGGATGTGCGACTAAAAAGAAATATATTTGTGGAATACGACTCCTAAATTCTCTACCACAGTGAATAGAATTCATAATTTTTATTATTGTTAAATCTAAGAACACAAGACTTAAACATAATAAAATAAAATACCGTCAAACTATCCGAGCCCGAATTAAAATTTGTCGCAGATTGATGTACGTTATCCATTGAAAATGATGTATACGAAGTGCGTTCACTTGTGCCAACGTTTTTTCCAATCCGCGAAGCACTTCTGGTAAGCACTTTCTGGTATAGCCTTGAGTTCTTCCACTAAATCTTTTCTTTATCTTCTCAAGAGTTCCAAACCTCCTTCTTTTCATGGGTTTCTTAAGTTTTGGGTACAGGAAAAGTCGTAGGGGAGCTTATCCGGTGAATATGGTAGAATGGTGGTTTTGTTTTTATTCAAAAAGTTAGACATAATGAACGGTGAGAGCATTATCGTGATGGAAAATCCATGAATTGTTTGCCCACAATTCCGGGCGTTTTCTTGGTATTGCTTCTCGTAAACGCGGCATAACTTCAAGGTAATACTATGCCACGATAATTAAAGAAAACAGTAAGCAAAACCTTGACATTTAACCATATTCCCATGATTCGTCACCAGTTATCACCTTTTTGAGCATATCAAAATCATCATTGACGTTTTTTAACAGCTCGTGAGCGATACTCCTTCGACGGTCCTTTTGTTCAAAATTAAGCAGTTTCGAGAAAAAAATTCGCTGCTACACGTTTTATGCCCAAAACTTCGAAAAAAATTGCATGGCACGAACCAATAGAAATGCCGACGTTTTCAGGCACTTTTCTAATAGTAATTCCACGATTTTTCAACACCATTTGTTTCACTTCTTCAACGCTTTCGTCAATTATTGACGTGCTGGGGCGTCCAGAGCGAGGTTCGTCATTGGCGTCCTCTCGGCCATCTTGGAACAGCTTGTTTCACTTATTGTTCAAAGAGTAGATTCACCATATACTGTTGTCAACATTTCAAGTATTTTGCAGCACTGTAATCAATTTTTTACATTTTTTACACAAGATGAATTTATCCACAATATGTAATCGAAGCACCTACTTTCCTTACTTTAAATAGAATATTGTTTCATTTTTGCGTTATCGAAGAAATTTCAAGGTGGGTTCCTTAGGGTTTCCCTACACTTCATTTTAATTGTTTAAAGTTGTTTCTAATTAGTCCAGATTTTGACAAATTTGGACATATTTTTGATTGTATTTACGCAGGAGACGCTAGAACTGATGTGTTTTCTACGAGACAATTTTTACTTGCATATTTATTGAAGCGGTGTTTTTCTTTTTCTATATTTTCTATTTTAATCGCTTTTATTGGAACAAAACATTAAAATCGGAAAATTGTTAAGTGTTCTCTTAAAAGCAGCAATATACTAAAAATTTAAATTTAAAAGCGTTGATAAACTTGAGCACAAATTTAGTTATATTGTTATTTTTTGTATTCACGTGACTACTGAATGTTATACAAGCTTATGCAAAATAAGCAGCTATCTACCTGAAATTTGTCACAATCCGACTTCGGAAAATATTTTAAAAAGTTTTGTGTTTTTGGTTATTTTCAAAAAACAAATTTTTTCTTGAAAATAGTTTGCGGGATGGGAAAAATTCTGGAACCCCAAAACGAGTTACGTCCGCAACTTTTACTTACAGCGTTCTTTTGATAATATAGGGTAGACGGGTTATACGCAAAAAAACTAAAAACCACTTAAAAGACTTTTTTGGAAGCAAATTATTAGTCGTAATTATAACCCTTAAAATATATATGTGGTAAAATAAACACCCTTACAGTTTGGTTTAAGCAGTGGTGAACGGCCATGACGAGAATTATAATTTTCGTATATACAGTGCGCGAGATATTTGGGAAAAATTTAGTTGAAAATTTGTGATAAAAATTTTTACATTTCCCAGCTTGAATTGCATTTGACGTTGGATCGGGTGCTTAGTTGAAAGGACTTTGTACAGGGTGCACGCACAAAACAGTGCGACATAAAAAAAAGCCGCGCAACGGCAGTTTTGTCACGTCCTGAATATTGGCTAAAGGTTAAATAGAGAACTCCAATTACCATATCTATATTGCCTATCGCAATATGTTACTCTGTTTAACCTCTGACCTTTTAATTCCCTTTAGCACTACTGCGGGCAGTGAATCTTTTATCTTTTCAATTATTGTTGAAAACATCTTGATGTTATCTCTGCAATAATATGACTTGGAAGTTTGCCTGCTGTTCTCATTATGTTCGTAAATAAGTCTGCCACCCGAGTGGATTTTTTTTATTTGACAGGACGCTTAACATCTTCAAAAACGAACAGCCAACATAAACGTCCATCCTCTTTACAATTATGAATGGAGAACCGGTCGTCTCTCGGGCGCTACGGCGACGGAATGAGTTTTGCAATGAAGATGACATAAAAATACATGTGTTGATTTCAAAATTTCGAAAAGTTTGTGGCATCTCCAAAAGCGTCATTATGCCTGTTTTTGTTATGTCACTCGAATCATCTACAGGATTTTTCACCCAATCCGTTAGTTAAAATTTCCAGAAGTTGCTGTCAATTTGCTTATCATATTTTGAGATTCTGTGTGAAATGTAAGGTCCTATTCCTATATTCAACAGTTTTTGAAATATTTGACCTTGAAAAAAAAACGTGCCTCCAGATTAACGAATATTGAAAATGCATATTGTTGTAGTTTTTGAAAATTTGATCCTTATATTTGGCAAAATCTTAAAAAAGTCTTAAGTTTACATTTTTATCATTTTTGTTGTCAACTTTAATATAGGGAGTTGAAAATTAGGCCGCAAAAATTCACATTTTCAAAGTTGCTAAACTCGTTTGTTTCAAAGGGGACACCCTGTAACTTTCAGTATTATCAAGTTCAGGACTTTCTCGATCAAACTGCCTTAGGGTAACCAAAACCTAATTAGGTTTTTTGATAGCATCCTATCTGTTCGGCTGAACATTTTCGCTTCATGTACTTGGCTTATAAAATAACAATTGAACCGCCAGTTATAAGAAGGAAGTAAACGCCAAAATATGGGTAAATGAGATTTTATCAAAATTGTTATTTTTATAGATGAACTGCTTAGCTTACGAAGGTATAGGCCAGTGAAAATTCCATCAGTTCGGGTCAACCAGTATAGTTCTCAAAAATAGAACGTCTAGCTGTATCAGTAGTATTGAAAGTGATATGGATGTGCGTAATGAGGGTGAACCGCCAAGGAAGAGAAGACGGGTAGTAAGAAACAAACATTTATGCAAAAACGAGGTTCACAAAACACACGCCTTAGGCGGTGAAGCTTATACAAATACCGAGGATGATTGTAAGTGTAAAACCAAGTGCACCCAAAGCATTACAGTAGAGGGAAAGGAAGAAAGTTCTACGAAGTTTGTACAGGGATCGTCCGTAAACGAGGAAGATACTTTGCTCGTGGGTCTTATAAAACGATCGTCTGTCGAACTTCTGAACGAACATCGCGAAGTATTAAGTAGAAAAATTTTTCGGCTGGCGCCTCTTGTTGTTTAAAGAAAACCACCTATCCATCGCCGCGGTATGCATTCAAATCGTGGCAACGTTCTACCTAATGACGCAGTTGATAAGCATATTCGATCGTTCGCATTAAATCAGTCGTACTACAGCAGCAGACAAGTTAATTAATTGAATTCCGATCTTAACGTGAACATAATGCACGAAGTCTTTCTCAAATATGATTTTTATCGGAAATATTTGAATGACAACCACGGGTGCAGATTTGGAAGACCACAAGTTGACGTTTGTTCGACTCGTGAAGAACTGAAGCTAAAATAAAGAGCACAGCCCTGAATGTCAATGCCAAACGTGTGGCAGTTGCGGAAAAAACGTGCGAGAGCGAAGAGCTAAGAAATTTGACGAGAAAGAACAGGATGCGTTAGCATTATGCGAATGCGAATTATACAAAATCTTCCGCTCCCGACAATACTAGTGCAAGAAATGTTTTATCTGAGAAAACTATGACTGTACATTTCTTGCGTGCATGATTTAAGAACAAATTCTACACAAGATTTGATCAGATATAGTACTTTACTGTGCGTGGTTCAACGTGACCGAAATTTCGGAACGGCGAAACGGCTTATTAGAAAGAAGGACAAAACCTACGTACCTAAACATCGCAAAAAGATTTCTATGAGAGTATACTGACGTGGCCGACTAATTCATCTGAAATACCTGCAGAAGTCGAAGATTGGGAGTTAATACTAGACCTTATTGATTGTTCGAGTGTTAAGAAAATATTTTTAGTTCAACCTACTACGTATTTTTGTTCCTTTTGCAACTTACATGTTCAATAGATGACTAGTTTCCACAGTTATTGCGTTTTATTTTGCATTAAGCTTCTCAAAAGACTGGTCAGTTTGAAGACGGAAATAAATCAAACTTAATGTTTTTTTAAGTTCTAACCATGAAAAAACACTGAATAGTATCTTATTATCCTAAAAGACTCATAACATCAAATCCAAGTTAGGTAAGGAAAGAAATCTGAATAAGGAAGATAGACAGTTTTTATCGATTTACCTAAAGTTAACTTTCAGGATTCATTTCCTCCTTCTAACTGGTGGTTCAATTATTGTATTCTGTTGTATTTAGTATTTAGAATAGTAATCATAATAATTATCATAATTCTATACACCCGGTATACGTGAAAATTAAAACGGTAGCCAAAAACGCAACAAAAGAAATTTTTGTTTAACTTTTTCTCATGGTTCATACCAGATGGGGTGGTGGTTCGTCTTACGTGCACCGTTTAATCCATTTTTTCTACCATCGGAATATTTCACAGGCAAAAACTATAGTAACGCAAAAGACTGCATCTGTACCTGGCGGGAAAGGTCCGACCGGTAACCCACCTAGGACCGTGGCAACCCTACCTCAAGGTGTCCGGTTAACTCCCGGATCCGTAATTGCTTCTAACGCAGCCGGAGGCTCCCAGATGCTCTACGTCCTACCCACGATTAATTCCGGCACGAACGGAACTCAAAAATTGACGTTTTTGAATCTGCAGCCCACCAACGGAGTGCTGTGTAAGTGACCGACAATTTATTTTTGTTGCGCCCAAACGAGAATTATGTAATTTTCAGCGACGGTGAACGGTTCGTTGGCGACCAAACAGAACAACACCATAACCTTGAAAACGCTGGGCTTGCGAAAGCATCCGGCGCCGTTGCCGGTGTCGCCAAAAGTGGTCTCGGACGTGAAGCTGAAACCCGTGCTGCCTAAACCGTATTTAACTATTAAAAAAATCGACACGGGAATAATTTTGCAGTGGAAAATGCCGTACAACCTCGATTTATACGAGTCTATAGCGAGTTATCAATTATACGCGTATCAAGAGACTAACGCGCCACCTAGTACCGACATGTGGCGTAAAGTTGGAGACGTTAAAGCGCTGGCGCTGCCGATGGCGTGTACCTTGACTCAGTTTGCGGACAAAAACAAATATTATTTTGCGGTTAGGTCGGTGGACGTTCACAAGAGGATAGGAGCGTTTAGTGACCCAGAAGAGATCTCGTTATAAATACACTTTTTTTAAAGATATAATTCAGTGTAATGTAATTTGTTGTAGAGCGATGACTTAGGAGTGTGCGGTTAAGTTATTTCTAAAATTAAGTTTTTTTTATCAAATAAAAGTCAAAATCGCTTACAGTGATATTTGCACTACATTTTTCTTTTACTCTACATGATGGCGTGCAGGTTATTTAACAGCGAGGAGAACAACAAATGACTCGATAAAATTTCTGGATTCCTGGATACCCGCTTATATTTTTGTTTGATGGGGGCAGACGTAATGGAGGGGCACGAACGTTGTTTTGGATAACTGATGATTTTTCGATAGTAGAAGAATTTTAGTTTCATCGAATAAATGATGTCCAGTTCTGTGATTGTGCTCAGCAACTGCTCATGTGTTTATTTGTCGTTATGTTGTAGTCTTAAGGCTCTTTCATGTTCTTTGTGTCAGTTGATATTTTTCGTCCGATCTTTGCAATGTATCTTTGCCCCATATGCACGGAATGCTGCAAACTCCTGGTATCTCAAACGGAAACGGATCGAGAGATTTTTGGACAAGTGGTAAATCTGGTTTTGACGTTATATTTCTTCTAGAACTTTTGATATGTGGTCGTTGTGTGTTGAATGTAAGAAAGGACAACAGTGGCAACTGTGGTATTGCTTTCGAACTCTTATAGATAGAACGCTTAATATCTTTAATTTGGCAATTATTAGTGAGAAGAGCATAGGTAAGGTGTTTTAATTCTGAGATCAATGACTCGGGCTGAGATAGTTTTACGGCTCTGAAAACAAGACACTTGATAGCCGATGATTTTTGGACCGGTTGCAACAATGCCTTAAGTTACCGGTCTGTGTGTGTAGGTTTTTTGCAAACTGAATGACCTAATGTTAGGTCTGATTTTCTATTGGTAAGAAAATCTAAGAATGGTAAATTATTATTAGTTTCTAATTCAATGATAAAAGGTAAGTTATGGTTTATCGAGTTCAAATGGCTAAAAAAATTCAGAATTTTTGACTATGACGTCAAATAACAAAACTATCATCAACGTGATGTACCTTGTGACGCCACTGCGAAATGCTCATAAATATTAAAATGAAATAAATTTTAGGCAAGAAAGTATCAAGCATATGTCAGTGTTTTTGGAACATATACGTACATCTTTTTAGTAAATCACGGTAAACAATAACTCAGTAACAGTAAAACACTAACCAAAATTATTTCAATGATTGACGTTTGATGTTTATTTTCCGTCTTTTGACATTACCGCAAAATAACGGTTTCTCAGCGTGAAAACTACCTTTTCTCGGAAAATATTTTACATAGTTTACTTCTTTTTACGAATACCAATAATACTAGAATAACTTTTAGAAACCCGCTTGATAGGCTACTCGCGCAGTTTTTTTTTCTGCAAATGAGACATGACGAGCAAATCGTCTGTTTTCTACGTGCCCTCTCTTAGACAGAGGTACAATTTAACAGCATACCTTGACGCTTGGTGGTGACATCTGTCGGTTTTTTAGGATATGATATTTTCATTGTCAGTTTGCTTTCCCTTTGTCGGTTGTAGAATGTCAGACAGTCTTCACAAAACTGTCGATAGATAGTGTCTAAATATTACAAAAAAATATAAAGTCTTTATCTGAGAAAATCACAGAATTAGTAGTCTGTGATGGAAGAAGGTCGCGATATCAGTGTATTAGCTAAATTTTATATTTATTTATTTACATATTTACGGTTTAACCATTTATATAAAATATTATTTAATATATCATGAATTGGATGTTATAATAAATTGACTGTCCATTTATACAAAGCGTATGCAAAAAAATTATCTACTCTTCAAAAAACTCCTATTTGAGCCCTTTATCGAACACTTGGTGTAGCGGACAAGGAAATATGCCATTCCAAAAGGTTTTGTCACTAGTGGATAAATTAATTTGAAGGGCAGTTGTGGAAGCACAAATTTAAAATCGAGTTGAGTAAAGGCGAGTTGTAACAAGTTTTTGCCTGGAAATAGTTTATTTCGGCATTATTTTTTATTTAAAAAGTGAGTAAAAACTTGTTTGCAAAATTACAGGACCCCATAAGCATTGTTATCGCACTGCAATAGATGTTCTATAATCTTGCACTTTGTCTGCACATTATATAGAACTATATAAAACGGACATGATGGAGAAAGTAAAGCTTTATTTTTCCTTAACACAGTGAAAAATTAAGTTTTATGGTTTATGGCCAGTTCAATAAAATCCCTAGAAAAAGAACATTTTTATTATTATATTATTAATAAAGGCTTAAGCTCTTAGAGTTTACCTTATTTTTTCTTGCAGACTCGGAGCCTGGCATATAAATTTGTGGCCATACTTGAATTTGCCATCAAAAGCATGAAAAATTATGTCACTATTTCTATTCGGACATTGCTTGATTAGCTTGTAAAGTTTATATCCCAATTTAAAAGGTACAACTTTGTCGTCGGCAGCATGCAAAATCATTATAGGGACATTCACGTGGCAGATATACTTGTCAGTTGCAAATTCAAAGTTACTAGCAACTGGATTAACTATGGTGTATTCAAACCATGGAAGTGGTCGAAAAAACTAAAATAATGTGTTAATTTAGTAAGTTAACTAATAATAAGGAAATTTCTTACCTTGGCCAATGGAAATTCACTAATTTCATCCCTAAAATTATTAAAGGGTGCCTCTAATATCAGACCTGCTGCCTTTTTGTAGCCTGATTTTGCCAATCTAGCTAAGGCATATGTGGATATACTAGTTCCAAGTGAGTGTCCCCAAACAAAAATATGAGAACTTGTTCTATTAGCCACCCACTGATAAACACTGATTGCATCATTTATAACTCCCTCCTCTGAAGGCTTTACAGTGTTCGAAGAATCACCATAATCTGCGAACATGTTGTGAAAAAATACTATAAATGAACTTTTGTCAGTTTACCTCTATAATCAAAGGCAATTACATGAAAATATTTCCTTAGGACTTTGTAAAGTTCTATTCTATGGTCTGTTAACCTACATCCTCCATTACCATGATAGTACACAACTATATCTTGCCCATCATCTAAAATCGATGTGAAAAACTCATCATCTTTTTTATTGATATGGGTTAGATTTTCTGGTAGGATCTGCCAAACCCCCAAATTTATACCATCATCAGTTTTCAGATAGAAATTACGAGCACCATGTAATCCATATTTTTGAGGGTGTTCATAATCTGCATTTATAGGAATTCTGACTAAAAAATATATAAACTAACATATAAAAATGAGGACACAACTACTTACTTACTGAAATTTAGAAATACTACTTTCCGCTGAAAGGCATAGGAATACTTAAATATTAGCGGCAGTATCACAAACAGTATTACACAGACCAATAGGGATATTTTAAATGCAAATAGGGTTATTCTAGAAAGAAAAATACACACAATTCTACTTTTATAATAAAAAAAATATTTCTCTCTGTCCAAAACTTAAATTTGTTCTTTTATGAGACTCATTTTGAAAAAAATGCTGAATTATGTTGAGTAACCTATAAAAATTTATTTAATATTATAAACATTTAATCATTAGCACAATACTCAGCATCTTTTAACAGTCTTTTTGCACTTTCTGTTCACGTTTCATTTATACTTACAAATCCAATAGGCACAAGACATACAAGAAGCATGGAATCAATGAAGCCCCAAATATATTGATACTGATATGTCTCAACAGAGACATTGTGTCTGGGCTGAACATTGTGAGCATGAAAGTCAATTTCTTATTTGGTACTTTAAAGAAATGATCATGGACTATAAATCAATACCTAGAAGTCAAAAAGTGCAAAAAGATAAGTGTAAAGACCACTATTTCAACCTGTAACATACCTTCTTATAATTCTTTTCTTCCTTAGTATCATTCTTGGCGTGATAATTAGTTGTGATAGGCAAAATGTAAAAATTAATTAAATTTATACATCATACGTGCTCATGTACACAAGGCCCAAAAACAATTTCAATTTAATCGACCCACAGCTTACAAGCTCTAGCTACGTCTGTCTACTTGAGAACATAATCAATTTAGTTTAGATCTAGTGCAGCTGCAGTTCACTTGATCCAAGTTCAAATCACAGAAATACGTAAACAATCAATCAATCAGCTGATTAGTTTGCAGCAAGAAATATTTCTCTTCTTTTTTCTTCTTTGCGGAATTGGTTACAGTTACCACAAACTTTTATCTCTAATTACACATGAGAAAATTGTCTCTGATGAAATTTTTTCTCAAACATGACAAATGGCAATTTATTTTCATTAAATAGCAGGATACCACTAGATGATCAAACGATCACAAATGGACGAAGAAATTAGAAGTTTACAACTAGATAAACCCGGACAAGGAAAGGTTGTCATAAACTGATTTAAGAATTATTTATTGAGTTAACTTTAAAAAAATTTACAGACCACCAGCGAAATCCAAAAACATTCCGTCGATGATGCTTCTTACATAAATAGGCCAATAGAGAGAAGCATTTTTATTCTTGGGTACGTAAGTTCAACGAATTTGGCCCAAATTATGTCGGTTAAAGCCACATATTATAATAAAATAATAAAGTTATGATTAACAATGAAAAAACGAAGCAAATTGTAAAACGTAATGAAGAGTCATGCTTATGTTTAGCCACTAGTGGTGGAATATTCATTCATAATTTTTTTATGAAATATTTCATAACCTATGCATTATTGTTATTGTCGCGTTAATGTTTTGTGTTGCGTAAATCCAATGACCTATATATCCTTGCTTGAAACATGGAAATATACAGGTGTTTAATATTTTGATGGCATGGTCATGTCTTCCTCAAAATATGAAAATGAAGACTGGGAAATACATAACAAAAATGTTTACGAAGATATATTCATGTAAAGTGGTTCTGTACTTATTAAGAAGGTATTATTTTAATTGTTTTATAGGAAAGGGGATGATTTGCAAAAGTTAAGCGTAATCAGTTCCCTGCCTGAGCTTTTTCAATATGACTGCCATGCAACCATCACAAAAATTATGCCAAAAATTCAACAAGAACTACCCCATTCATCTTCTGAATTTAACTTAGCTGTTAGCAGGATGTTCAGTATTCTTGTGGAAATGGATGTGCCTATAAACATAACCAATCAAGTGATGCAGGGAATTGAAAACAAGGATATTATAATCTCTAATGCATGGATGGAAACCCTGCTTTCCATTATTCCATTTCTAAAAGAGGATGTTATTAAGAAAGATGTCTTGAATTGTGCAATATTTAAGTCACAACTGTCCAAGCCAGTGCACTTCAGGATTTCTAGCTGTAAAATACTGGGAAAGATTGCTGTGCACAAAAGCGTGAGCCCTTTTGAGTAAGAAAACAATATTCTCCATGAATGTTGAATGATGAATGTCAGTTTTTCTAGGGTAAAAAAGGATATTTTGCCGCTTGTGCAAAGCTTGTGTCAGGACTGCTTTCATGAAGTTCGAGCAGCCATGTGCAAAGAGTTACCTAAAGTTGCTAAAAGTAAATATTCGGGATTAGAATTTCAGTGAGATAATTAAGTTTCCTTTAAATTTGTAGGCCTACACAGTTTAGGGGACCATGTCATAAAAATGAGTCTGCTACCTTTGCTGGTGGAGTTGTCTTCTGATGAAAATATTTATGTAAGATCAGTGGCCATAAATTCAGTTGTTTTGATTATTCCCTATTTAAACTCTGGTAAGTTATGCAAATACCCTAAGTGTGTCATTTTTTAAATTAATTGGATAGTCAGTCCAATGGATATTTTGAAACATTCCATAGTTTCCATTAATAATCTCAAATCTCAATTTTTTTAGTTAGGGGTGGTTGTTTATTTACTCCAGTAATATAAAAAATGTTAGCACATGATCTATTTGGTGTATTTCTAATTGAAAGCTATAGGATTTTATGTAACCGGCTATACTATGTTTCTTAATGCTAGAGAGTCATAAAATGTAGATTTGCAGTGACAGGAATCATTTAACAGGGTGGATAACTTAAAAAATTCTCTTTTAGTTTTTAAGACCTACACTCCTCAATCATTCCTAAATTAGGGTCACACTAACTTGCATACAATAGAGAGACAAGTTTGGTGAATGAATGTAATGTGGCGTCACTACCGGTAATTTATTAGAATATTATATATATATATATATATATATATATATATATATATATATATATATATATATATATATATGATGACACTATATTCCGGGATATCATCCGTTCGCTCGTTGAACTCCGACTGGAATCCTGCAAATCCTGCATCCGACTGGAATCCTGCAGACGTTTCGCCAAAATCTCACTTGGCATCTTCAATGCTCGCGCTCCGAAAACACTTCGAACACTGTCAGAATACCACCTTGTATGAATTATCTACAGATGCCAACAGAGATGCCAGATTATATATATATATATATATATATATATATATATATATATATATATATATATATATATATATATATATATATATATATATATATATATATATATATATATATATATATATATATATATATATCTGGCATCTCTGGTGGCATCTGTAGATAATTCATACAAGGTGGTATCCTGACAATATACATTTACTCAAATGTATATTTTTTGGGTTTTATCTGGCCGAGGAAGTGGCATCCACCTTTGCTATTTATAGAATGCATTTTTTGTCAACTATTTGGGCGCAAGATCATCGTCGTTATTTTCTTTTAGAAACGGTTACAGGTACTATCATTCCTTTAACTAAGAAATTGTGTTCCAGAAGCGCCGTGGAAGGTATATTGTTTTACTGTTTTGTATAATTTCTTTTATCTGACAATTTGTATTTTATGCAGACGATACAACATATACAGCTGTGGCAAAAATATTCGATAAATTAATTATTAATTTGCAACCATATTTAGTCTGCGCGGAAGCGATGTGGTTTCTTGAATATTACCGACACATTTCTCAAAAGGGTTTGACAATGTTTAATGAAAATTTGGAAGAGGATCCGTCCATAGTAAATATTTCTGTTTTAACATTTTCCCATTTTTATCATGACTCATTTTAGAATATGATTTGTCGGGAATCCTGCGCAGCGTGCACGCCAGTTATGGCAATGTTGGTGTTAAAAGAGGTGCCGAATGAAATTAACGGAAAGTGGCATCAGATATTCAAAGATTTAGCCGCAGATCCATGTTATTTAGTGCGCAAAGCTATCGCTAACGCTTTCGCCGAAGTGACGAAAATCTTGGGTCAGCACAACAAGCAGATTATGTTGGAATTTGCGAAACTCTTACGCGATGAGGATGAAGAGGTACTCCAGTCTCTCGTGTCGCACATGGGGATCACAATGGAGTTATTTGCTTCGACCGGAGTCCTTAACAGGAACGTTCCCGTCCAAGCGACTTTGGAAATAGGTCGAGCTTTAATAAAATGTCAAGGAGAAGTGTTTAAGACGAACAATTGGAGGCTTAAGGAAACGCTTCTGAAACAAATGGAAAGGTTACCGGTTTGCATGCCATCCGACTTTATTCATCAGCATTTTACGCCCATCGTTTTGAGTGCCATTCTGGGCGAGGTAAAAATACTTTTGACCAGTCAACCTTCTAATTGAGGAAAACTCTTCTAGAAAGCGAAACCGGTTCGATCACAAGCTACCAGAACACTGCTCATCATATTGAGGTACAGCATGAAGGAGAATCACCGGAAATGGATCCGAGAGAACATAACAAACCAACTGTGCAACTCCAATTGCTGCTACACTCGGCAAGTTTACGTTGTTTTGTGCACGCACGCCATCGACATATTCAGCTCTAGATATTTCAAGGAGCACTTTTATTTGCCACTGTTGTCCTTGGCAGGTAACTCTCCCATTTTTGTCACTAAAAGTAACCTCAAACCGTGGGATATCAACTAATTCTCTGCCTAGATTTTTCTTTATGGATAGATAGAGTACAATAAGTCCGATTTTTCCTTGAAACGCTTAAATCTGACAAATCACTTGCACTGCATCACAAAACGCAATAAATAGATAAATATGGGCTAACCCATTGCAACTTTCCGCGGTGTTGTCATATTATATTTTATCGTTAAACCGCAGGATATTGACGAATTTTCTGCCCAGATTTTTTTCTTTGTTGATAAAGTACAAATAAGTCGGATTTTTCCTTGAAACGCTTAAATCTGACAAATGACTTGCACTGCATCACAAAACGTAATAAATGGATAACTATGGGCTAACCCATTGCAACTTTCCGCGGTGTTGTCATATTATATTTTATCGTTAAACCGCAGGATATTGACGAATTTTCTGCCCAGATTTTTTTCTTTGTTGATAAAGTACAAATAAGTCGGATTTTTCCTTGAAACGCTTAAATCTGACAAATGACTTGCACTGCATCACAAAACGTAATAAATGGATAACTATGGGCTAACCCATTGCAACTTTCCGCGGTGTTGTCATATTATATTTTATCGTTAAACCGCAAGATATTGACGAATTTTCTGTCCAGATTTTTTTCTTTGTTGATAGATAAAGTACAAATATGGATTTTTCCTTGAAACGCTTAAATCTGACAAATGACTTGTAATAAATAGATAACTATGGGCTATGGCATAACCTATTGCAACTTTCCGCGGTGTTGTCATATTATATTTTATCGTTAAACCGCGGGATATTGACTAATTTTCTGTCCAGAGGTTTTCTTTATGGATAGATAAGGTAGATAGAATAAGTCGGATTTTTCTTTGAAACACTGACAAATAACTTGCATTACATCACAAAACGAAATAAATAAATAATTTGTGAACAAATACCAACACAGTTCGAAATCCAGTTTTATCTTTTTCTCTTCTAACTGATAAAGCAGTTGGGCCTGAATTTGGCTTTGACCGGTTATCCATATAGATACAGGGTGTTAAAAAAAAAACAAAGTTCATATAAACGCAGGTCCGACAATCCTTGATTTCCAAAACACGGGGTGTTAAGTATAAAAAAGGACTTTACAAAAATCCTTAATGAAGCAGTAAAGCTGATGGTGTTCATATTCATCATTTTCTTTAGCATTCATTTTTTAGAACTCCGCTAAAGTTCAGTTTCAGTTAAGATCTGAATAAGCCAGTGAAGTGAAGTGAAGTTGGGGAAACGTCAGCAAGTTCGATTTATGGGCAACCAATACAGGAAGAATAGAGAAGATTTGTAAATAGGATCAAAGTAGCCGTGCAAAATTTTTTCATTTTTTTTATGACATTTGTTCAGGCGAGCATCGGCACATGTTTTCTGAAACACCCTGGTCATCTTAAAAAAATGTGAAAAAAAATTATAATCTATAAATAGAGAGAGATCTGTGGCGTTCAAACGATTTTACCTGGCTAATTTTCTCGAATTTGCGCCTGAATTTTTTTTTTAGTGGAAATAAAACTATTATAGGATACTAAATAAGGCAGATGATAAATCTAAGTGGAAAAACACTCGAGAGGCAACTGTAGAACTTCCTATAGACAGAAGCCTCATTCCATTACCAAAAGTAATGGTAGGTGAAAGGTTTGAGTCCCAAAAAACTATGAGTATTGCAAAATTTAACCAGAAAAATTAAAACCACTATAAAACCAACCAGTAAACAATTTGTTAAAAAACTGTGTAAGTTGAAGTGTTTCCAATATGGTGGTTATTCAAGATTGTCTTTAATATTTAAATATTTTCAACGTCGCACTGGAAGTCGCTTTTAACTTATTTATTTTAAATGGAACACCATATATATTAATTTCATTTTTGAATTAATGTTAAGCTCCATAAGTTCCATACATTCCGTAAGTTCTTTGAAATTGATATTAAACATATGGAAGCTAATAGCGACTTCCGGCAGTGGTGCAACCCTGAAAATATTTTAAAACGCCAGAAAAATCTTGAATAACTGTGGAGCGCAAAAACCAGGAAAATTTCCAACCCACGGCTCCGAGGAGAAGCTCTCTCGCTTTGTTTTGGTTAGTTAGGTTAGAGTTTTTCATCAAAACATTCTCTAAAATCTTTGAAAAAGTAGTTAACTCACAAAAGTATTTGTATTACAACTCCATATATATGGTTTTAAAGTTGGACACAGTTGCACAAGTGCTCTTTTGAGAATTACCAATGATATTTTTAAAACTCTTGATGAAGGTATTATAGGATTATTCAAAATCTTTTGATACTCAATCAGTTTTACATTACATATGTTTTTCTGTAAATGCAGTAAATCTGCTTTCTCATTATCTCAGTAATATGGTTCAAGCAGTGGCGAAATTATCTTCCTTTTTATATCTCAATAAAGATGTTCCACAGGAACACAGGCCCGATCCTTTTCTCTATTTCAAATTTTTACAAGCATGTTGTTCGTGTCTTAAGTCATTATTATGCCGATGACACATAAATTTATTTATTATTTTATCCAGAGGAATCGGCATAGGCGCTGGCAACTGAATCACGATTTGTATAATATTCAGAATCTTTCCTAGAACCACTGCCTACAGGTAAACGCTGACAAGTCCGTCTTTACATTGTTTGGAGGTAATAAAAACATAAGTTCCTTTCTACTTACACTGCAAACAATTTAGGTATACTGTTGTACTGGAATTGTGAAATCATTATCTAAATGCCTTCAAAAAGCTTACTTCAATTTAAAGATGATTTACCAAAACAAGGATTATTTAAATAGAAAAACAAAAGTATTCTTGTGTGAGTCGTTAGTGTTATCACAAAAAACCGCAGTTTGAGCGTATAAGCCACGCAAACATGCAAAATGGAAGATATATGCACTCTGTTTGATTATTTTCTAAGATAAAAATTTAAAAGTCACGTGCACACTATCAATATTAGGCATAAGGGGAACCTCACACTGAGCTTTAAAAACGATCCTTATGCAATAATCAAATTTTTTAATGAATTACCAAGTAAATTCACTTCATCAAAAGCTAATAAGCACCAGTGTTCGCTAGGTAAAAAAGGTTATAGGTAAAAATAGGTGTAAGTTCAAATAAACGATATTCTCTAACGATTATTGTTCCTCGCTGTAAGATTAAAGATTACATTGTGTACAATACTTTTTCGTAATTGTTACTCTGCTTTTCTTAGGCCTTAACTTTTCAGGCTGTGTGAAAGAACAGGTCAGTGATACGTCACTGAACTAAACCTCGCTTTTTTCTAAATTGATTTGTTTTTGTTTATTATTGACCTGTTGATTATGAACCGGTTTGTATATTGCCATTAAAGTAGAACTTACGTCAATATCCATAATTTTAATATTCTTCTATTCGTTATTCTATCGTAAACATTTTTAGATGATCACGTCTCGAATGTGAGATTAAGCTTTGTCAAGCTGTGTCTGGTCTTAAAGCAGATGTTGGTTTTGCCGGTGGACCGTTCGTTGCAAATAAAATTTGAGAGCGCGATCTCGAAACTGGAATTAATGGAAACGGATAAAGAAGTTCTTGTCATGCTAAAAAAAAGCCTAAAACAAATGAGGTCGCTTCAAGTTACCGACAGCGAGATCGTGCTTGAAGAGAAAAGGCGCATCGAAGAAGAGGAATATATTTCGAAAGGCAGCATTTCTATTAAATCGCGCATGTCAGCGGACCTTGGTGAGTGAGTAAATTAACAAACTCGCGAAATGATCATCCACGTCCTCGTGTAGACATTCGTCGTTTAAAGGAGGCCGAGAAACTGTCTCATACCGTCAAAGTGACGAGGTCCACCATATCTAGAACTTCCAAAGCTAGAGCGGTCAGCACTAGGTGAGTTTTCGTTGAAAAAAATATTGCTTTCGCGTTTTTTTGTTACGCTTTTCTCTTCAGCAATATGAGTTTCCTAGACCAACATTTTTACATTGACGCGGGCGTGAAATTACTTACGGAAACCAGCAAAAGCGATTCGTTGGCACCCGCGGCAAACGATAACAAAGATTTGGTTTTTTCTATTGAAAACTTGAACGTGGAAAATTTGTCGCTGGAAGATCTGAAAGAGTTGCAGACCTCGACAACAAATATTACCGACGATATTAAAGAGAACCTTAAGAAGATATCCGTCGAAGGGCATAGAAGGGCTAAACGGTCTTCTTGTGTTTTTGGTGAAGAGAAGAGGGCCGATGTCGTTCTGAGAAGGCGAAGTTTGAACATACCAACGTACGAGAACAGCCGTATACCTTGCTTGAAAAGCAACAAAAACAGCGTTCGGAGAGTAACCCCGCAGAATATAGATAATTCTTCGAAATTGGTCGCATTGCACGATATTTGTCCGCAACTGTTGAAGAGCGATTGCGACAACAGCGCGCTTTCTTTAAGTACCTCCAAATTAAAATCTTCTAATTTGCCAGTATTAAAAACAAGGTAAAGAGAAAAGCTTTTCGCATCCGGCTTATCTCTAATGTTCTGTTTTTGAAATTTGAGTGTAATATTTCCTTCTTTTTCTTTTTTTGTTTTAGGAAATCGGAAGCAAGAAACTAATATAGTTACACACAGTTGAAGCTTACACGTACTAACAGGACTGATATTTATATATGTTTATATATTTATTGTTTGTGAACTCATTTATTTTAATAACAAAAATTTGTATTGTTGAACTTTTGTTTTATAACTACTAAATAATGTTCCTTTTCCCAAAGAAAAAAATTAATTTTATGTCTGGTCTGGAGATACCTAAAATGGTATTAATTGTTCAACTCGTGATTCTAGAAATATGTGGAAAACCCTTTAAAAAAGCTTGGGTTGTTGACAATACCGAGTGTAACTACTTTTGACGCTATATAACGTAGTTCAAGTGATTGAGTCTGGCATTTTCAAAGTCTGCATGTTCGACAACCCCCAGGTATTGCAATACTATTTACACTGCGTCGCTTGTTGTTAAGTCGAACGTGCTGACCTTTCGCCAATCATCCTGTTGGCTTCTTCAGAGCTTCCCCCAGGCATTACATTTTATCGTTCCAGCCTTGGGACTTTAGGAGATGTTTAGGCGTTTCGGTGCCTTTTACTAACTATAAGCTTTCCCTAATTATGACGGAGAAATTTTAATTCAGCAGATAAAAATAAGTAAAAAATTCATATAAAGTCGTTTTTTAGTATTATAATTTCTAAAATTCTTATGTTTAACGAAGTCATTTTTGTTCGTGGGGTATCTGAATTTGTTACCAAATTTACGAAAATTGCCCATAAAAAAACCTTTAAAATAGTTTAATGAACACTGGAACTTTAAAAATGATAAGGTCGATTTAAAATAACAAGTGAAAAATACGAAAAATATTTTAATTTTAGATATTATTTTTTATTTAATTTTAGTATTTTTGATTATTTAGAAAACAAAATTATAATTATTTTAACCTACACAAAAACATTAGGATTATGTTGAAATATTTTAATATAAATGTTCAAATTGGGCGCCGCCCTCTTCAATACACCCAACTAAAAACATATCAGAACTAATTAAATATGTAAATAATTTTATTTATATTTGATTTCAATTTCTTATCAGTTCATTAAGTATAAATTAATTACATATAAATAAAATACATTAAAGAGAAGTAAGAGAAAAAAAGGATATAACCAAAAATAATCGGATATTAAAATATTTTTATTTAAATTTTTAATATTTTATTAATCCTCAATTAATTATATATGTATGTATGTATGTATGTATGCATATATATATATATATATATATATATATATATATATATATATATATATATATATATATATATATATATATATATATATATATATATATATATATATATATATATATATATATATATATATATATATATATATATATATATATATATATATATATATATATATATATATATATATATATATATATATATATATATATATATATATATATATATATATATATATATATATATATATATATATATATAGAATAGGCGGTCTATCATCTACTGTGGAGGCGGTTTACCCCTTACTTTATTTTCTGTATGGAGTGGAACTATTCACTAACTCTATAGAATACATGGAAGCAAACGTTTCACGAGTGACTTTCTCTAACCCTGCCTTGGTTTTACAATTCTGTCTCCAAATATAAGATCTGTTAATATCCTCCATTAAATAAAATCAATTAGATCACAGTTAAAATCCGTGCGTTGAGAGTGGTGATATGAATATCTTTCCAAGAATTAATGGCACGTCTTTCAAAAATGGAACAACACGTTGGCAAAATATTTGTATAACCGTCGGCTGTCAGATTTTAATTAAACCAGGTCCCACAAATCAACCCAGGAAAATTCCTACCCTCACATTGAATCCAAAACGACATCGCCAATTTTGATGCATGAGAATACAAATGTTATCTGTTCAATATTTTGTAACAATCCATTTTTGCTTCATCACTCCTAATAATAGACAATGGAAAATTAATGTTGTATTCTTCTACGGGCATTCCCTTCATGCAATTGTTAGACTTATTTAGTACGATTTAGCTTGAGTATAGTTTTTTTAAAGTAGTCAAAGGTGGAGTGAGAAGGATTTGCTTGGATTTTCTGATACTTCTCCAATTATATTCAAATCCTGAATTTCCTGTTCTTCATTTCAGTGGTTTTGATTTTGCCTTCGCTTTTTGAGACTTTCATAATTAGTTAAATTGTATTTTAACGTCCGAAATATTCGCTGGTCTCGTTGGTATTGAAATAAAGTTCATTGGCTGCCTCTGCGTTTTCGCTTGACGAAAGGTAACATTTCATCATATTATACTTTTCATAGTTTTGGCACAAAGCTTAACTTTGGACACGAAAATTATGTGTGACAGAACACAAAATTCAAAAAAGAATAAAAGTTATGTTCTTAAGTGACATTAGCAACTATATGCATGGCCTACTCATCCTAAATAAAAAAAAAGGCAAAATATTTCCGACTTTTTTCATCACAGATCCCAACTAATCTTTATGGGTGAAAAAATAAACACGGGCATTTTTTACCTATTACGTATAAAATAAGAAAGTTGTTGTCATTTATGATAACCTGCAGTTAATTATAGACAAAAAACACAATGACCCCACAACGAAGCTCAGGTAGTATGAGTAGTGCGGAACCTAGATTTAATTGGAATCTTTTTAAATCTAAAGTAGATAACATTAAACCTTATGACGGAAATAGCGACACGCTAAACAAATTTATTGCTAAGTGCGAAAGATTAATAAATTCCTACGTTAGTTTAGGAGATGCGGAACTAAATAGCTATATCTTCGATTGTATCATAGACAAACTAGTAGGGAAAGCAGAGTTAATGGTAGGAAACCGATCAGAATTGACAGATTGGTAAAGCATAAAAGATGCGCTTATTCAATGCTTCGCAGATAGGAGAAATTTAGATTGTCTAATTCAGGAATTAACTAGAACAAGACCGTTCAAAAACGAACATTTAGTTGATTTCGGTGGTAGGCTACAACTTTTAAAGAGTAGTGCAATACAGCGGATTAGTAATTCAGAAGACTTAGATCAAAATGAAAAACTATTCCATGTAAATTATTACAACAAAATCGCGCTCAATACATTCATAGCTGGATGCACCGGGACGCTCAAAAACAACCGGATTCTTTAGAGGAACCCGTTGCTTATGTTTCTGAATTTGAAAATTTTGAAAACCTCTATGGGAATCTAAGCAACACAACGAAACAATTCAAAATGCCCAATTTTTAACAAATTAATTCAAAACAATTCCAAATACTCAATTTCCAACAAAACAATGCAAAACAATTCCAAACACCAAATTTTCAACAATTCAACACGAAACAACATTTTCAACCATTCCAACAATTCCAAAATCAGCCGAATTTAAATAAATTTCAGCCCAAAATAAATCCAAACACAAATTTCATGCCAAACAATTTTAACAATTTTTCAAATCCAAATCAATATCAAAACCAATTCCAAAAACCACAATTTCCATCTCAACCAATAAATATTCAACCGAGGCAAATACCTCAAAGACGATTTCCAACAAATCGGGAAGTTTTCGGACCCCCACAAAATGTTTTCAAACCCAATCAAATATCACTCAACCAACTTCCAAAACCGACACCAATGTCAGGTATCTCAAGACAAACGAATAATTCATTTACAAGACGACCGATAAGACAAAATTACTTTACAAACAACAATCAACCCCCGAATTTTATCGCGGAAGAATTATTTAATCAAGAATGCGACGAAAATTTTGATTATCCTGCTAATCAAATCGAATATAATGATTATAACCAATTTGAGGAATATTATGAACAAAATGAGTACGAAAAAACATCGCATATCAAACAAAACGTCGAAACACAAAATCCAAATGACGAAAATTTTCACGAACTCAGCCAAACAAACAACCCACCCTAGTAGAAATTAATATTTCTTCTAACAACGCTTTACCGTATATTCAAAAATTAAACTACTAATAGACACGGGTAGCTCACGTTCGATATTACGTCCAACTATCGCTGAAAAATATTTTCCAAATTGCATTTATCATAAAAATAACGAAATAAAGACAGCAGTAGGAAGTCAAAATACTAGATTTCAAGCTAGTATACAAGCATTTTCTGAATTTAACATCGATTATCGAATAAATTTTATCTTATTTGATTTTCACGACTTTTTTGACGGAGTAATAGGTTTAACTGATTTAATTAATATGAATCTGAATATCGATTTAATAAATAAAAAATTAATAGGATTTAACAACGAAATTCCATTTAAATACAGAAAACAATCAGACGCAAACTTTACTCTAACGGTAAACCCACATGAAACATCTTTAAAGAAAATACCAGTAAGTGAAATCGAAGGCGATATTTTTATAAAAAATCAAAAACTACAAAATCTAGAAATACCATCTGCTATTTCATATGCAAAAAATAATTTCGCTCTAATTGAAATTCAAAACCCCACGGACGAGACAGTATCAGTCAAGTTAACACCACCCTTACCAGTTGAACGATTTAACGCTGACCAATACGAATTTTACAATTATAACACTATTGATAACCTAAAAATACGTACGAAACCTAAAAAGGACATAATTATGTCAAGAATTCTCGGATATTTTCTATAATCCAGGAGATAAGTTATCATTTACCTCGAAAATTAAGCACGAGATTAAGACAACGGATGAAATACCAGTACATACGAAGTCATATAGATATCCATTCGTCCACAAAGAAGAAGTAAGGCGACAAATAGATGACATGCTCGAAAAAGGAATAATAAGAAAATCAAGCAGCCCATGGTCAAGCCCTATATGGATAGTGCCGAAGAAATTAGTCTCATCAGAAACCGAAAAATGGAGAATAGCCGTAGACTATCGGAAGATTAATGAAAAAACTATTTCTGATAGATATCCAATCCCCAACATAACGGATATTTTGGATAAATTGGGACGTGCACAATATTTTTCTACACTGGACATTGCCAGCGGCTTTCATCAGATTGAAATGAAAGAGGACTCTATCGAAAAAACAGCTTTTAGCGTAGAAAATTGACATTTTGAATACACCAGAATGCCATTCGGACTTAAGAATGCACCATCAACCTTCCAACGTGTCATGGATGAAATTTTGAAAGACGTCCAAAATAAAATATGTATGGTCTTTATGGATGACGTAATTGTTAAAAGTACAGGACTAACAGAACATATTCAAAATCTAAGATTAATATTCCAAAAATTACGAGAAGCTAATTTGAAGATACAAGCGGACAAGTGCGAATTTTTACGACGAGAAGTGGAATTCCTTGGACATATAGTTACCCCAAATGGTATAAAACCAAATCAAAAGAAGATTGAAGCCATTAAAAAATATCCTTTGCCGAAAACCCAACGAGATATTAAATCATTCTTAGGTTTAGTCGGGTATTATTGCAAATTCATAAAAAATTACGCGAAAATCACTAAGCCATTGACACAATGCTTGAAAGAGGAAAGCAAAGTCGAACACACAAAAGAATTCATTGATTCTTTTAATACGTGTAAAAATGTGCTAACTTCAGAGCCAGTATTATCTTATCCGGACTTTACAAAAAGGTTTGAACTAACAACCGACGCATCGAAATATGCCATCTCAGGAATTTTATCCCAAGACGGACATCCGATATGCTACGCATCAAGAACGCTGAACCCAGCAGAGATAAACTACTCAACAATTGAAAAGGAACTCTTAGCAATTGTTTGGAGCTGTAAATATTATAGACCTTATTTATTCGGACAAAAATTCATTATTTATACGGATCATAAACCCCTACAGTGGCTTATGTCATTAAAAGAGCCACACTCGCGACTCGTTAGATGGAGACTTAAACTTGAGGAGTATGAATATGAAATTAAATATAAAAAAGGCAAAAACAACCAAGCAGCTGACGCTTTATCACGATATCCAATAGATATGAACGCTCTTGAAACTGACTCAATATTTAACAACTTCGAAGAACCAGCAGATTTTAATGATCAAAAATATGCTTTCATTAAAATAAAATTTAGAAGTAAAGAACTTCCAAAATTTAAAAAGATACCGTTAATACACCAAACGGAAAATAAATTAATAACAACACAGACAAATTACCATAAAAATAGTGCAAAGAGGCCAAAGGCTAATAAAAATTTATTCTTTCGGGAAACCAATGAAGATCAAAATGTTGACTCTTTTACTCGTAGCAGTGCTAACCGAACGAATAATAACGACAGACGTACAAGTTACCAAACTCGTAAATCCTATACTTCCTATCCAGATAGGTAACGCGAAATTAATTTATAACAAACATACATTTATCCATTATGTAGATTTAAGCCAAATAATAAATCACGTAGTAAGTATAGAGAACGCATTTAAAATAATTAAATTATTATGGACTTGCCGAAAATTTACTTCTAAGAACTGAATATTTAATACAAATTACGGTGGAAAAACTTGAAAATTTACATCCACATGTTCGTAAGGAACGAGGCTTAATTAACGCGGTTGATAAAATAAATAAATGGCTATTTGGAACTCTCGACGCTGACGGCGGAAATTATTATAAAACAGCAATAAATACACTCGAGAAAAACCAAAATAATTTAGCCAAAGAACTAGAACTACAAGTATCTTTATCAAAGGGCATAATTAATAAATATAATAAAACTATTGTGAAATTAAATGAAAATCAACGAAAACTACAAACTGGTTTAAAAACATTCCAAAATGCAGTATTAATGACGATATACAAGACTATCTTAGTTTTCACGGGATTATTACGCAATTAAACTTAGATTGCCAAAATATTATAATGTTTCTAGATAACCTAGATGACGCTATTATGTTTGCAAAAGTTAATGCGCTTCATAATAGTATTTTACCGATTTCGAATTTGAATAAAATGCTTAAATATTTAGCATCAATTCATAAAGAAAACAAATTCCCCAATTTAAAAACATTTTATCTTCTTATCAAATTTTGAGAACTCAGGTAAATTTTGTTGACTCGAAAGTGATCTTTGCAGTCCATGTACCAATTTTAAGATCCGAAACATTTTCCTTTTACCATATTTTCCCAATAATCCAAAATCAATCAATTTTTATACCCCAATACCCTCATATGGCACAAGCGGAGAAGAAGAGACAATTCAACGTAGAAACATGTCCCATCATCGAAGAAATCTACTTTTGTAAAGAAGAAACTCATCCCCGAGATGTATGCGTGGAGAATTTATTTGACGACATAGTTATGGAAAACTGCCCAATTACGAAAATGAACCTGTCAGAGGCAATTATAGAACAAATAACTCAAAATTTAGTTCTTGTTTTGCCACAGAAGCCTGAAAAATTACTAATTAAGTGTAACACGGATCGATATATGCAAATCGAAGTACCAGTACTGATTAAGATGCCAGTAAACTGTCAAATAGAAATTAATGAAGAAAAATTCTTCAACTATGTGAAAATCCAGTTCGGAAAACCAATATTTTTACCAAAAATCCCATTGACAGAAATGAAAGCAATGAAAGTCCTGGATATCTCCAGTCTTTCAAAAATAAATATCGACGAGATATATCAGCTGAGAGACTTAGCAGAAATGATAACTCCTATGGAACCAGTGGAAGAAGAAACGAATATGTTCCAAATAATTGTTATTGTTTTTGGAATAATCGTAGTTCTAATTTTAGCTTTCATCATTAAGAAGCTACTGTTCGGAAAGGCACGAGAATTGAGGAAAATCGCATCCAAAGAGGAAACCTGCCAGGGAGAAAATCTTGAAGTTTTTTCGAAAAAACACTCCGTTATTTTCGAAAGTTAAGGAGGGAGGAGTAATATGTCCCAAACTTCAGACGAAGCCCAAGATAAGCGAAGATAACGCATCGCTATTTATTCGATTGTAATATTGTAAAATACACTCTTAATTATTCCAACCTTTGTAACGGCCAGTTCGAATAAAACTTTATTTCGATTTCCATGTAAATAAATGTTTTTAAAAACGCTCTCCCGAATTTTGAACATTTAAGTAGTTGCATTTTTTTTTTACAAAAAGGCCTAATAATGTTTTTATCCGAATAAATTTTTATAAATAAAAAAGTTATCAGAAATTTTTAAAATGGTCGAAAGTTGAAAAGCCCCAGTTTCTTAAAAATCGAGCCCTTGACATGTAAGTCGACTTTGCTTTATCAAGTTGAGAAATGGGTTTTTGCCTGTTAAAACACTCCAATTACGACCACCCTGTACAGTTGGTTTTACTCAGGGTATGAGTACTTATCTGGACAGTGGTACTAAGTGTGCTGCTATCTTTTTCAACCAGGAAAAGGTATACAGTAGCATGATATACTTGGAATTCGTTTTGTTCCTGGCAACTTGTTTAAAAACAAGCCAAAAATGTGGAACATGAGCAGGGAGCTGTGCTAGAGCCTTTATTATTTAATTTATATACCAGGAACTTTTACGATCTGCTATATGGAAACTATGCAGCAAAAATTTTAAGCAATCCGTCAAGATTGCGGAATATCCGGATATAAGGGAAGTGGATTTTAACTTTATTTTAGATGAAACACCCTCATGTATGGGTACCCAAATTACACCGTTCCTAGATATTTAACATTTTATGTCAAAAATGAGGTTTACAAACCAGGATAAATGTAAATATTTTCCTGTAAAAATTTGCTGATTTTAAACATCCTGCAAGGGGGTACTTTGAGGATTTCGGCCCCTAATTTTACAGTTTTAAGTTGTTAGCATTGACGAGGCCAATCTTATGCACATGTTAAGTTAATATTGTAAAATTTTACAGGATTCGGTATGAGAAAAATATTTATTTATATATTATTTTATTTATTATTATATTTGGTCTGTGAACATCACTTTGACATAATATTAAATAAATATAAACATAATGTTAAATATTTCAGAAACTGTGAAATTTACAGGTATATGGTATTATACATAACATGAAGCAATATGTCTAGAAATTTCCAATCAATCCAAAAAAGTAATATTGGGCATTCCATTTAAATTTAGAAACTTGACACTAATTTCTGCCATATCTGGACATGTCATTATAAATTTTTGCCACTATAGTCTTCCCATTATCGATTGACGAAATTTCCGGTAAGACATCTTATATAAATGAATTGGGAAATTTAGATTTGGAAGAACAGTATTTGTCATTGGCGATTCTTCTTGAAAAGGCGTGGAAGTGAAAAACAGTTTAAAAATATAGGTCTTTGTAGCATTCAAATTAACCCTTAATAAAATAATGACTTCTATGGCAAAAATAAATAAATGTAGGTGTTCATCTTCAGCCATTACCAGTGATATAAAATGCTGTAGTTTATGTTTAAGAGATAAGCCAAAAACTAAATTTTAGATCTCATAATCTATTTTTAGCTATACACATTAAAATTAAATTCCTATTATTTTGTCAAAATGTCAAATATACTAATATTGCAACTTATTTTAATATCACGTTCCAAGTGTTAATAGTTTTAATAATTTATTAATATAGTCCTTCTGTCGATTGTTTTAGTTTGGGTCAGTGGTGATTGATTAATATTGAATACAATTTAATAATAATGACAATACTTATAATTGCTAAATTTCAAATATTTGTATGATGTCTATTTAAATAAATCTAATATTATTATTAAAGGAATTAAGCAAACAACAAACTTGGAGCAAAAATTTAATGACAGTTTATGTTTATCTGTTAGATTTGGCCACTCTTTCCAATTCGTCTTTCTTTTTGATGGCATAAGAATTGGAAGAACCCTTAAAAAAAAATGAAAAATCAATAACAATGCCAACAAGATCTCAAAAGAAAATGTCATTACCTTTGCGGCATTAATCAATTCGTCAGCCAAACATTCAGCGATTGTTTTAATGTTACGGAATGCCGCTTCTCTGGCGCCGGTACACAACAACCAGATTGCCTGGTTAACTCTCCTCAAGGGCGATACATCAACGGCCTGCCTTCTAACTGTACCAGCCCTTCCGATTCGAGTAGAGTCTTCGCGCGGGCCAGAGTTGATAATTGCGGTTACTAAAATCTACAAAAGTATGCATCATCAAACATACCATACATCTCTTCATGCACTCAATAAAAATAAAAAAATTTAAAAATCAGATTTGAATATCTACACAATATTTTCAGAAGAGGTGTCAGAAAATATAAAAGTTCTCATCACTGAAGCAACCCTCTAACCCTCTGAATAAATAATCCCCATAAAAAAGCATACCTGAAGTGGATTTTCTCCAGTAAGCAAGTGAATGATTTCAAATGCATGTTTCACAATGCGCACGGCCATTAACTTTTTACCATTATTCCTGCCATGCATCATCAATGAATTTGTCAACCGCTCCACAATAGGGCACTGAGCTTTGCGAAAACGTTTAGCGGCATACCGACCTGCCGAATGAGGTAGATACTTTGCGTTTTTTTCTTTCACAGCAATATAATCCTAAAAATAACAACACTTGCAAACACAGCAATAGAACTATGTCATTAATTGTAACTAATTTAGAAATTTCAGTAAAAGCTTTAGAAGCCTCAACAAAGTTTTTCTGAAGAGGTGTCAGAATAACAAAAACTAATTCATCATTTAAAACAGTAAACTTGGTATTGGGGAAAAGAAGGTGAATGTGTTAATACCTGCAAAGACATATCTGAGACCTGTACATCATCGCAGTTCCACTTGCCGAATAGTTTGATTTCAATTTCCGGCATTTCTGCAAGTTTTGATGCCACAGCCACTTGGGCTCCTTCATCTCCGTAAGTATCCGACATTGTACAAAATCTATAAGAGAATTATAAATATACATTTTCATAACAATATTAAACATAACGCGGATTCTTATTAAGAAATTGAATCAGATGTACTTGTTTATCAACAATGGATTGTACAATTTCTGCCAAGAGGTGTCAGAAATTAAGAGAACTCATCACAAATGGGAAGCATGTTTGATTTCAGGGCGAACACGTGTAATCTGCTTACAAATGTGTAATAGAAATTGATTCCGCTAACTCTTTATAAGAAACATCTAAACAATTACTTGCACTATACTCACATATTATTTATGAACCAAAATATTCACAGGTTAATACACTTAAGCAAGTATCAAAAATTCAACGTGAACCGACACTCGCCATTTGTAAAAGAACCCGATGTCAAATTTCACAGGAAAAGGAAGTATGTGCTGCCATCTTCGGCGTCAAATTTTAACTAAGGATAACGGATGCAAAAAAGACCTCCCTTTTTCTTCTGCGCCAAAATACCAAGATCATTCGTCCAAACATGGAAAAACATATAATTTTTCTATAGATCATGGAGGGATGGATGGCCCGCATATTTATTATATTATAACGTGATATAATATTGACTTGCTCCTTATCAAATGGCTAAAATTTATCAAAAACTTATTTCGTTAGCTCGGTTCTAGTTTACTGTTTGATTGCATTCGAGCAAAGTACTTCATCGGGGATATACTGAATTTACACAATTCACTATGATTGATGACGTGTAATCTACAATCTATAATTAAGTCCGCTAACTGGTCGTCGGAGTGTGTTTAAGCAATTGAAATATTACTGGGAGAATAATTGAGAACCATGGTTGAATCTAAAATTTGCTCACCAACCAACACGTTTTTTCTGTATTTGACGTAACCCGCTGTGTATGTGTGTTGTCCTTGGTGTCCAGTTTTTGTTTTTATGAAAAGTAGATTTTTTAAAATTCCATAATGTAGCCATTGCGAATTCCTTAAGTTGATATTTTGCGGAAATTTCTGGCAACTGATTTTTACTTATTCTTCGAATATGTATCCCCATCGATTTATGTTATATTAAATATAAATCTTAAAATGTCCAACACCAAAGTGCCTCCGGAAGAATCACTGCCGAAAACTGGAAAAGTAAGCGAAGTCTGCCAAGAATGGATGGTGAGAGAAGACAGCGCTCTGGCCTACCGGCTACAGAGCCAAGAGTTTACCGACCATCTATCTGGGAACAAATTCCGAAATGCTGTGGTACGAGAAGATTTTCCTAGAGCCAAAAATGAACAAATTAAAGAGCAAATAATGGCTGAACAGGCGGCTGCAATTTACCATAGAATGTTGGAAGAACAAGAGGAAATTGACAAACAAGTCGCCAAGGAACTAGCAGAAAAATTAGAAAAGGAGGATAAATTACGAAAAAGAGCTGTTGAGTTGCGAGACCAAGATATTGCCAGACAGTTGTTGGAAAATGAAAGACTGAGGGTACAACGTCAACAGCAGTTAAATCCTGTACAGATGTCGCCCCATAAGGCTGCGTTTATAGAAACACGGAACCATTGTCATAATATATCACCTCATAGGCTGCCACCACACTCTGGCTACCAGTCATCTATCTTACCCAAAAGACAAAGTTTAGCTATGCCATTGCCACATGAGCCACAGTCTAGCAGCAGGATGGAAGTGCCTAGGAAAAATGGTATTAATACCGAGCTTGATAGTGCAGAATTGTATATGGAACCTTACAATCCAATTAGCAATTTATCGGACCGGTTGGATCATATTGCCTTGCCATCTGAACTTGAAGAAATTGGCATACCAGTAGATGAAGTAAATGAGAGAAGAATTCAGGAGGAGCAGGATGCTAAACTGGCAAGAAAATTGCAAGAACAGGAAAGTAGCTTGGAAGATACTTTGGTTAATAGAGATAGGATGCTGGCGATAGAGGCACAAGACAAGGAGCTGGCAAAACTGTTGCAGGAACGAGAGAGAGCAAAAGCTAAGAGAGCAAGGTAAAGTCATATTGTTATCAAATTTCCTTTTGCAACCCTTAAAATTTTTAGAGTTATGCACCTGGGTAACAATTCATCTACATCAGTAATATTTTCTTTATTGTGAATAGTGTAATTCTTGTATTTCAAAGTAATTGTGGAAATATTCTAAACAGAATTCATTTCAATTTTATTTTTCTTTTCTTTACATTTTTTAAAAACATTTTGTTTTTTTATCCACTTGCAGCTCTAGTTTTTTATTCTTTATGCATTAATATAGAGAAATAGTTGTTGTCTTACTCTTCTTCTTCTTCTTCCAATGCGTATCCATTAATGGATGTTTGCGATAACATTTTCCATTGCTTCTCTGTTTCTTGCGATATGTATCAACGTCTGTACATCATGCAGGCCAGTCCACTGTCTGATGTTTCGAAGCCACGACATTTTTTTTCTTCCGATCCCCCTCCTGCCTTCGATCTTGCCTTCAATCAACAGTTGTAAAAATTGATATTTTTTGTTTCGCATGATATGCCCCAGATATGCCGTTTTCTTCTTCTTAATTGATTCAAAAAGTTCACGTGGTTTGTTAACACGTCTTAGAATTTCATCGTTGGTCAATCTAGCCCTCCAGGGTATCTTGAGAGTTCTGCGGTGTAGCCACATCTCAAAGGCCTCTAATTTGTTTATTGTAGTTGTCTTCAGTGTCCACCCCTCCATGCCCTAAAGGAGCACCGACCAAACGTAGCATTTCACGAATCTCATTCTTAGGTCAAGGGCAAAATCGGAGCAGGTTAGCACTCTTCTGAACCTCAAGAAAGCTTGTCGGGCCTGTTCTATACGGTATTTTATTTCGTTGTCCGATGTCCAGTCTTCGAAAAGCCAGGTACCCAAGTACTTGAATTTGTCCACTCTTTCTATGGGTCTAGCGTTAAATGTTATGGTGGAGTTTTGAAACGTGTTTAGATTCTTGGATATGATCATGAATTTTGTTTTTTTTGGTATTAATATTTAAGCCCATTGATTTGCTCTGTTCTCCTACCTTATTGACCAGTTGTTGTAGGTCGTGTATATTGTCAGCGATTAGGACCGTGTCGTCCGCATAACGAATATTATTAATCCAAACCCCATTAACCTTGATTCCCATTTCCACGTCTTCTAAAGCCTCCTGGAAAATCGCCTCCGAATATAAATTGAACAAGAGTGGAGACAGCACACATCCCTGTCCCACTCCCCTCCTAATCTGTATGGTGTTCGACATAGTATTGTCCAGTTTTATTTGTGCCGTTTGGTTCCAGTACAAGTTCTCTATGCAACGGATGTCTTTTTGGTCTATATCAAGCCCTTTAAGAAGTTGGACTAACTTGTAGTGTTTTACGCGATCAAAAGCTTTTTCATAATCTATGAAACATAGACAGACATCCTTTCTCTGGTCGTAGCAGTTTTGGACAAGTACTTGTGTTGCGACTATCGCCTCTCTTGTACGTAGCCCCTGCCTGAACCCAAATTGTGAGTCGCTCATGTTTCTCTCACATTTCTTGTATATTCTTTGATGTATGATTTTAAGAAATATTTTTAAAGTATGGCTCATCAGGCTAATAAGCCTGTAATCTTCACATTTTTTTGCATTGGTCTTCTTAGGCAGGGGGATAAAAGTAGAGGACAGCCACTGTTTGGGATAATGACCTGTCTCATAGATAGTGTTAAATATTTTATGTAGTCCTGTGATGCCTCTTTCATCGAGTAGTTTAAGCATCTCTGAAGGAATTTCGTCTGGGCCAGCCGCTTTGTTGTTTTTTGAGTTACGTATAGCTTTTTCAATCTCGTCTTTAGTAATCGATAGACCAGTTAGGGTGTTATCAATACTAACTGGGGGTCTTTCATCGTCAAAAAGTTCTTCTATATACTTTTCCCAAACATTGATTTTCTCATTGGTATCGAGGGCTATATGGTTATTTTTATCAACTGTTATATTTGGTCTCATTTTTTTATATATGCCAGCAGTCTCCTTCAGCTTTTTGTGCAGATTGAAATCGTCGTGCTGATTTTGTAGTTGTTCTATCTCAAGGCATTCCTGTTTGAGCCATTCGTTTTTTGCTATTCTAATCTTTGATCTTATAAGTCTTTGAATATCTTTGTACGTGCTGCCGTCTGTTTCGTTTTTATGTTTTCGACGTTCATCCATTAACAACAAAATTTCATCGGTCATCCATCTTTGTTTTTTGTTCTTTGCTTTATAACCTAATCTGTTTTGCATTGAGTTTCTTACAATGTCCATCATCCCTGTCCAAGATTGCGTAGGCTCTTCCCCAATGTTTGTTGTTATTGTCTGGATTTGTGTGTTTATTTCGTCGCACATTTCAGCCTTTATTATTGGATCCTTAATTTTTTCTAGTGCTATTCGTCGATGTACGGCCGACTTTCTTTGATTCGACAAAGCAATCTTTATGACGGCTACCAATAGTACATGGTCAGAGGGCACATCTGCCCCAGGATACGAGCTGGCTCTTCTGACGGTTGAGTTGAATCTCCGGTTGATGAGGATGAAATCTATTTGATTCCGCACTACATTTTGCAGGCGGTCCGCCGGGGACCTCCAAGTATAAAGGCGGCGAGGATGAAGCTGAAAGAATGTATTTGTGATTTTCATGCCTTCTTCCTGGCAGAATTGCAAGAGTCGATCACCTCTCTCGTTCCTTTCTCCAAGACCATATGGTCCGACCACACCCTCAAACTCACCCACTCCTACCTTAGCATTGAAGTCACCCATAATAATGTTGATGTCATGTTTTTTGGCCAGTTTAAGAAGTTCTTTGACTTCATTATAGAATTTTTCTACATCGTGGTCCGGTGAATCCGCAATTGGTGCATATACTTGTATTATGTTAATATCGTTTGGCTTAGCTCTGAGTTTCAGTAAAGCGGTGCGGTCCGAGTACGGAACAAAGCCCACAACAGATTTCATTAGTTCTTTTGTTATGACGATTCCCACACCTTTCCTGTGTTTAGGATCCTCATTGCCAGAGTAGAAGAATACTCCGTTTTCCACACTGCACTCCCCCGCATTAGGCCACCAGGTCTCAGCCACTCCTAGAACATCTAGCCCGTGTCTATTCATTTCTCGCGTAAGATTTGCTAGTTTTCCAGCTTCAAATAGGCTTCTCACATTCCACGTTCCAATCTTTAATGGTTTTCTTAGGTTTGCTCTTGTGTTTAGTACATTCAAAACCGTTCCCCCCGGAGATCCGACTGGGGAACTATTTAAACCTCCGGAAAATTTTGAGTCAAATGTACTCATGTTATTGTCTAGGGAAAAATAATAAAGGTGGTATCCCGTTGCCTTCCTTTATGCCAGTCTTGGCTTGGAAATCGGCCGCCCATTCTGGGTCAGACGCCGTTTGCAACCGCCCAATCTGGGAACAGACGTTGCCGTTGTGCTTTTATATTAACCCTAAAAGCAGGGCTGCCACTTACGCCGGATTCGCCGTATCGGAACTCATTTTTACGCCTTCACCGCCGGTGTGGTCTTCATTCGTAACCCTGAACAAGGGGCCCTTACAGGGTACTATCAGCCGGAGCCAGCTGAACCCAGGTTTTTTAGCGAGGTGTTACTCCTCGACCCCTCCTCCTTCCTTGCCTCTTGCGTGGCAAGGCCCCAGGCTTGGGACTGGTACAGCGGAGTTCTCTTACTCTTCAGTAATGTCTTTTGTTCCTCATTTTTCGGTACAAGAGATTTCATTTTTTAAGAAGTGGTGAAAATTATTGCCAGTGGCTTGTGTTAAATTAACAAATAATAAATTTCAGAAAATCCATAATTTTTAAGAGGGGCATAAAAATTAGATTTTTGTTTTTTTTTAAATTTGCCTCTTCAACTTTAATAAAGATTTTTTTTCATAGTAGGCATGTTTAACATATTTAGGTTTTAATTAAGAAAATTATTATTTTTTGAAAAAAAAAAAAAATTAAATCTAACAAAAGCAGCCGAACTAATTTTTTTAAAATAGAAACCACAAATTGTTCCTTTTCATTAATAGACAGTGCCAAAATTAAATAAAACTCCAATAAAATTTTAGCAATAAGTTATGATTTCACCTAGGGGTTAACCACTGCAGGCAGTGCAAAATCATGAGCAATCTCAAATGACATTAGACGACGGCTGACGTGAGGCTGGTTGATGATAATTGAATTACGTGCAAAAGTTTCTTGTTTTAGTTTTGAATAGGTCATCGATGCCATTTTTTTTTTTAAATAATATTACAGCAGGTTCTAACAATATATAGGAGTTGTTTTACCGAACCGGAAGCACTAAAGAGGGAGGCTTGAAATGTAGATATAGGCTTTATGCGTTGTATAGATAGCTACTAGAGATATAGACCGCCCTACGTCCTACGCCCTACCCTTCGGATTTCAAGCATTTTACAGATAACCACAAAGATTTTATTGATTTCATGATAACACAAAGATTAGATAGATTTTCATTCGGTTTCGTGAAGGAATCAGACAAAAGGCATAGGTATTAAAGTTTGTACTTTACTTTTGTTTAAACTATCTACTAGATTGGTCTAATAAGAGTTTGTACTAGTGTGACACCGAATTTTAATGATTTTTTTGTCTAGACCAAGACTAATGCTATAAATATTGATGAATAAATTAGTAAGTTAGTAAAATGTGCTGTTAAAATTCAAAAAAAAAAAATCAGGCGTTGAAGTCGTTTGAAATTCATTTTATTTTCTATAAATTATCTACTCAAGATTTATGTAAAGTTGACAATATTTCTATACACTTCCTAGGGAACGAGCTAGACAAAAAGGTATTGCTAGGAAACAGCAACAGCAACCTGCACCTGGTAGTCCACAAGACCCAAATAAAACTCTGCTGATGCCAGACGACTCGTACGCCTTTCCGGCAGATATAGTCACGAAGCCATTATCAAATGTGCCAAAAAATATTGCCGCCGTTTCAGATGTGTATGCTGTTCCTAATGCAGACGATGAAGACATCAACTATAGTCTTCCAATTGATATGATTCCATCTGGTTCAATTGGGGGTCATAATATAAGCAACAAAACAACTGACTTGGAAGCGAGCTGTTCCGGATCTATTGGAAGACCGACCCATTTGGATCTAAGGTAAAGTGGGTATTAGCATCTGTATTGTCAACAAGCGCATTTCATAGATCGCCACTTAATAAAATGGGGAAGCCACGCTATCCCGAGCCTGATGTATGCAATACCAACAGTAGCAGTGCAGGCGGCATTTCAGCTGAAACTTCTCCCCTGCAGCATTCAAATATAGCCATGGCGATAGATCCTACTTATACCAGACGTAGCGGTTATCGACCGCCTTCTAGTTATGATACCACTCCAAGTACAGTTACCACATCAACGTCTAGCAGCAGCCCGGGCGTACTGTTGTCAACACCAGTTGTTGAAGAACTGGAAGATGATTGGTAAGTGGTTTTGCCGACCTAGTTATTCAAGTTTGATATGGTTGCATTTAAGCCCTGCACCGCCTTATATGCCCATACAAGGTCAAAGGCGTACTTCATCCTTAGAAAAAAAGAAGAAGAAAAGCAAAGATAGCAGCTGCAAGCAGCAATAGGTGAAGTATCAAATGAGTGTTACCAGTGGTTCTTTGGAAGAAGGTTAGAATATTTTATTAGTTAACGACTTAAATGTCAGTATTGCAAATTTATTACGAGAGATTGCCTATGCCCAAACATGATATTGACATAAAAATTACCAATAATTCAAAGCCCAAATTTGGGGCAGCTCTCTAATTTTATGACCACAGCAATTTGGATGATTTGAATTCCCCAACTTTTTCTGATTTTCCCCGTTTTTCAAAAATATTGAAATAGTCACTCGGAAATAAACAAACATTAAACAAAACTCTTGTTGCAATTTTACATTAGACGTTTAAGCTGTGCCTAAAAGTTTTGGTTGGTCTGTCAGTCTGGGTTAAAGATTATTTACCTTGCAGTTTGACATTGCCAAGTCATAGTTTCATTGCATTACATACTGTAAAAAATAAATTTGTTTGACAAAATTAACAACATTTATTCAGCTTTTCTGTTACGGACTATTTATTTGCCGCACTAGGACCAGCTACTTAATTTGTTAATATAGTTGAAGTTGCTGAACACTCCCGTTTAAGCTTTATTATTAATGCCAAAATAAGGTGTATTGATTTACCCTTACCTCCAAAATTTCTGGTAGACTTCGATCCAGACCTTTTAGGGATGTCCGTTATATTTCTAAAATAATTAAAAGTCCGAGACTTTTAGTGTGATGACAAAAAATTAACAACTTTCCTAAGGAAAACGCCGAGTTTTTTTTAATTGCAGTAATGTTTCAACAGAAGAATCTCAAAAATTTACAATATAGGAAGGCTAAAAAGAAAGGCAATGAGTTATTAAGTATTTGTGAGTTTTTAGTTTATATAAAATAATATATAATTTCCATTGTACTAAGTTTTTACTTACATTATGTGCTTTGAAGAGACGAGTTAACCTGCCAGTCTCTTGAGTTTTTTTAACCACTGAAAAACTCATGGTGCTCCACCTACATTGAAAACTTGTACATAAAAGTTGGCATAAAATATTTCGAACATGTTTTTCTGTTTTAGCTCTCCATAATTTACAGTGTATTGGTAATTATTAGAGTTATTAATAATCAAAATTAGGTAATGAATTCGGTTATGTCAACTGATATTCCTAGTTAGGCATTTTTTAAAAAGTTTTTGTTTTACAGAACGGTGCATTTTTATATACTTAGATTTAGATAATTTTTTTTACGCGTTAAAAAAAAAGGAAAAGGCGAGTTTGTGATTTTGCCCAGTACCTTTGTGTATAACCCAACGAATATTAACCTTAACACCAAAAAAACACGTGCTCAAATGTTTTACTTTTAAGTTGGTAGTGCGTCTAGTGACATTTTTAACCCTATCTATTGGTGGAAGTTTTAGTTACTTTTGTATATTTTATTGATTCTACATATCCTCGTATAGTATGTTTTATTTATACATATTCATATATTTATCAAAAAACAAAAATAAATATTTTGTGTTAAAAGAATTGCATTTTAGTTTCACTACTGCCATTGCATCACAGAAGATTAAATTTGTTGAAAAAACACTTGAATTATCTGGGGTGACTCAGGTTTCAGATAACTAAAAAAGTTGGCTTTCCCAAATTTCGTGTGTGGCTTTAATAGGTAATGCAAACCTGGGTATTTCAAGTGAAACACCGCATTTGTATTTTATCACAGAATCCAGTTGTTAAGAAAAAAATAAATACAGTAATGGTTATGACTTACCAGCTGGGAACTATTATTAAGGTATGTTATATCAAAAGTTCAATCAAACAGGCTTAAAAACATGCTTAAATTTTTGTTTTCATTAATTCTTAAACATTATATATTATTATAAACAAAAGCGTAAATGATATAACAAAAAAAATATTTTTTTTAAAAAGGAAACACAATTTTGTGGTGTAAGCACATATGTATTTACATTGTACATGCAAAAACAAAAATAAAATCTAAAACTATTTTGTAAAAAAGGACGTTATTCGAGTTTGCTTTTGGAGATTTATAAGAATGATTTGCTGTAAATACTACTCTATTTCCAGAGATGCGCTTAAAATACAATCTTTTGCATTTCGTCTTCTGTAGGCATATTAGTTGTTGCAATATTGGCATCAACAAAATGGTCTACTGTAGTGATGTTTAATTTTTTGAAGTTAATATTATTTTTGGTTAATCAAACAAGGGCAAGTTTTCTTCCTATCGAACTCATAAAGAGTAGGCTAAGTATATTTAAAACAATTCTTAATGGTTTTTTGAGAAACTTGTTGCCATGCATTCAAAAACCATTTCAATAGCATCCAGCAAATTTATTACTACTGGTGTGTCATTTTCAATTCACTTAAGATTACTGATCATAAGATGTCGTCGGTAATGAACTTTCAAACTATGAATAAATCCTTGATCCATTAGTCATAGAACTGATGTAAAGTGTGGAGGGAAAAATTCCAGTTTACTATTTTTCAGGTTCGAGTGATGTGAATGTGGTGGGCAATTGTCAACAAGCAATAAAATATGCTTGTTTTCTCGTGTCAGTTGTTTGTCCCACACTCTTAATTCACGTTCTAAAATATCAGGGGTCATCCATGCACGTTTGTTTGCTACAAATCAACTGGCAATTTCTTAACGTTTTTAAAACACCTAGGTTGTTGAACTTGCCAATAAATAAAAGTTTATGCTTTTCAGTTCCAGTCATATTTGCGCACACAAGAACTGTTATTCTTTCTTTAGAAAATTTTCTTCCAACACACTTTTGACCCATGAAGTTCATTTATATGATCTGGAGTAAGTCCGTAGAAAAGAGCCATTTCATTACAATTAAAAACGTTATTTTCTTCTTAGTTCTTGAGAAATTTCTGCATGAATTTTATTGGAACTTGTGCCGCTTTTTGAATCTATGTATTCAACCTGAATTATAAGAAAATCAAGCAACATCAAGCAATTTTGTAATTTCTTCGGTTCATGTCTGGAGAATGGACCTCCACTTACAGTATTCATGCTCCTTTGATACCTAAACCACTGATGTAATGCTTCATCAATGTTTTGTTGGACGAGTTTGCGAAGTCTTTATCATTGTTTCGAAACTCCCCGGGATTGAAAAATTTTAATTTTGTTTTTCAGTATTCTACACACTGTTGTCTTTTGAATGGAAAATTGGTATATTATGCAACGGCATTTGACTCACGAGTTTTTTTGGCGCAAGCGGAGCGAGTTTTTAATAATCGAGTGAGTTAAAAAGTTTACCGAACCTTAACCTTAACTTGTTGCATACTAGACTTTTTATACGACCGCTAGTTTTTGGGTACATTTTCGCAAAACAACACAAATATATTCACTGATATGACCGTCAGAATTGACAAACGTTAAAATTCAAGCGTGAGAAATATTTCCTAAAACATCCGATTGCTCTCAAATCTGTGCGGTAAAATCCCGGAAATGTCCGAAGTGGCTCGGATTCGTGGAAAACGAAACTGACGTGGAAAAGTAACCCTTCCCGCACGTTCGATCGGTGAGTAATTAGATATTTTACAGACGGGAGTAGAAAATTAGTATATTATGCAACAAGTGCGATAAACGGCATTTGATTCACGAGTTTTTAATAAACGAGTGAGTTAAAAAGTTTTACCGAACGTATTGCATACTATACTTTTTCTACGACCGTTAGTTTTTGGGTACATTTTCGTAAAACAACACGAATACATTCACTGACATGACCGTCAGAATTGAGAAACGCCAAAAATCAAAGCGTGGGAAATATCTTCGAAAACATCCGATTGCTCCCAAATCCGTGTGGTAAAATCCCGGAAACGTCCGAAGTGGCTCGGATTCATGAGAAACGAAATTGACGTGGTAAAGTGACGCTTACCGCACGCTAAGTCGGTGGGTAATTAGGTATTTTACAGACGGGAGTAGAAAAAAATATTGTCAATGCAAGTGACAGACTTTGCTGTTATATTGAAATTCACAAATAAGGTATCTGTTTATCAAGAATGTTAATTTATTTTTTTTTAATAATACCTACCCCGCCTCTCCTGTAATTTAAATAAAGAATCTTATCAGAGACAATTTATGTTTGAAATATATACAGGGTTATTCACAGTGTCTTATTATCCATGGATATCTTAGAGCAAATGGAGCTCAGTTCAAGCGTAATATCTAGTTGTATGTAATTAAAACAATTTAAAACCGTGTATTAGTCTTTAACATTAGTCTTGTGTATAACAGTTTCTATGAATATTTAGTTTTAATAGTTTCACTGTTAGAATTTCTTATTGGAACACGCTAATAACGGAATATTAAGCTTATTTATGTCGAAGACAAATTTGTTTACAAAAAACCACCATGGGCGCATATTTTGGTTTATTGCTTTTAACTCGAAAACCAGTAAAAATAGATATACATAGTTTGGTACTTTTAAATGGCAAATTAATTGCATTTTAAATTCCCAGTTAACATGTATTTTTATATCTCGCCAATTCGGCCTTATCTTATGAACGTCCTGTACGCGATAAGTTATGTTATGATAAATTAATTTAATAGGGAATCGCAACAAAAAATTCAAGCGTTTAGATGTACGGGTTATTATATATTGGGTTGATGTTGCCAAATTTCGTAAAAAGTATTTTTATCTCCGAAAATGTTCAAGATAGGTAAATGCTACATAAATAAATTCCAGAATGTTTCGCAGAATATAAAAAATTAATAATATATAGAGAGTGATCCATTTAAAAAACGAAAATTGATATACGTTACGAGTATATTTGGCAACACCGCATGGCAAAAAATATTTTACATAGGTAGTTCGTATTCGCTTGCATAAGTAATCAACATTTCAGATTTTTACCGCAAGTTATTCTCCATAAATGTCTAATAGGGCACTCACCATGAAAAACCCTGTATATTTTTAGATACATCACTAATATCCGTGTTTTTTATTTTTTTTATTATTATTAAAAAAGGGCACTGAGACATCTGCAAAGTTTTCGATTTTTTCAATTACATTGATGATAAAAATAAACAAAAAATTAGTTGTGTTCCGGAAGTACAAAAACAATAACAAACCAGAACAGGTGTTTGACGTTCTGCTCCAAAAGTCCAGGGGCGTTTGGGTATGCAGCTTGCACTCTATTAACTCACGTGACGAAAAATTACTCCTACTGCGCTCCAGCACTGTTTTTATTAGCCGAACCCACCTATGGTACGTTATAACCCTTGGTTCGAATAAGCGTGTACGTTATAAGTGAGTTTTACTGTAATTTAATATCAATATCACAGATTGCGAGCAGAGAACAAAGTTTTTTCGGTCACACATTGTATGAATGTAAAATTTTATATATTGCTGTTCCAGCACAACATTGACAGAATTGCAAAAAGCATAATTTTTCACGAGAAACCAAAAACGAAAATGAAATTTTGTTATTCTTCCCTAAAACTTTGAAAATGTTGTATTAGTAAGTTAAATATTGTTTTACCATATATACTAAACCATATAAGGATTAATGTTGAACTTAGCTCCATTTCCAAAAATATTGCACTTACGTCACTGTTCTGCGGGAGTAGCAAATTATCATAAAGGCGAGAAATCGTACAGGATGGCATTTAAACAGATTTTAAAAAAATTGTGAAATTTTGCAGATGCGGGTTAGTTATTGAACTATTCAAAAGTGTAAAAAGCAAAGGGTGTTTTATGTTAAAAAAAAACTGGTTTTTGTTGCCCTCTTCATGGTAAAAAGAAAGTTGAGAATCGAAAGTGTAATTCTTTATTAGAGAAAAAATAGTCACATCTAGTCAACAGTGAAAGGTGTGTGTGCAACTAAATAAAAAAATCCTCTATAAATATTTCAAGAATTAAACCAGAATGCAAGCACCAGCCGGCTAAACCAAAACAGCATATTAAACATGCCAGCTTGTAAATGTTGATTGAAATGCTTCTTTCACGATTCTTTCGCGGTAATGGCCATAATTGTGAAGTTTACATCTTCTGAATCCCGCTCCATAAATTTTTTGCATACCTTGGCGGCATCCTAACGAAACAACTTAGTTAACCACAACAAATTCAATTTCCAAAGGACTTACCGTCAAGAATGTTTCTTCAGAGCTCGGACCATGATTTATTGGAAAGTCTTTTCTACCGTCGAGTTCATATAAGTAACCCCCTTTTTGAACGAAAGCTACAAAGTGATGAACCACCTTCTCATTTGGGTCGGCCTAAAGGAAATTGTTGATTAAAAATGGTATAAGCATTTAACTGAACCAAAACTTCAACTACTGTGAATATATAGAGTGTATTCTAATTGAATGTCAATAATCAAGGGGGTGATTTTTGGGCCCATTTTAAAAAGAAAATTTCGTGTCCTAAACATCAACTTTCGAGATACAGAGTGGTAAAGTTTCTAAAAATAAAATAAATTTTTTAATATCTGTTATACCACTTTAGATATTTTAATAAAATTTGGCACACATGTACTTATGTATCAAGAGGCATTACTTAGTATACCACTTCTTTTTTAAAAACACCCTGTGTATTTTGGCAGACATTGATGTTACTCCACTGATTTCTCTTAAAATAATTATTCTTACAATCTCCAGGCATTTCTAAAGAAATTTAATTTCTTCATTTTTTTCAATCCAATGTAGGGTTTTACCTTAAAAAAATAAAAACAATAAATTAGTTCTTATTTTTAAGTGAAAAGCTGCAAGGGATTAAAAAAAAAAGAGATCAAATCAGTGGTGTTCCACAGAGTGTCTATCAATAGATTATATTGACATTCAATTAGAAAACACCCTGTATATAGATAAAGTCATTTAGAATGTTGAAAAAAAAACATTAAAGTTTAAGCCCTTAATATTAAAGAGAAGAGGTCTATCATTTCCATTTTTATTTTTTTGTCCTGATCGCATTATTGCTTCAAAACAGCCAAACGATGGTTTTTAAAGGGAATGTAATTCTCTGCACTAAAGGTCTCTTAAAATTTGTTTGCAAAGTTATTTTAAAAAAATTTATTCACTGTTGGAAAAAAATGAAATCCTTATTTTTTATTTTATGTTCACTCAATTTTTTCCGCCCAGTGGATAAAATTTATATTCTATCACCCAAATTATTACATACAATACAATCACATAATAACAATTAGGTTCTTTTATTATTAAAAATTATTTTGCAGTATTTTACACATTAGTATATAGATAATATAGACAAACTGAATACTCTGATGGAAACGATGTTTCAAGGTCATTGTTGCTTTCTGGGTACCTCACAATAAATGTTGCTGTTAGTATTAGAAAAGGATAGTGTTTTCACTTGGCATATCGCTTAATAAGTTGCAGAAAAGTCAAATTAATAGAGAGACAAGCGAACTTAAAAATAGATACGAACTTATATATTTATATATTTTGCAAATATGTAAAATATTGTAAATAAATAATTTTCAGTAACAAAAAAATATAATTGTTATTTTCAAAATTATTTTTAAATGATTAGGAAATAATAATTTTTGATTATGCAGAATACAAATTTGATCCACTGAGTGGGAAAAGTTGAGTGAAAAACAAAAAAAAATACAATAATCTCATTTTCATTGTACAAAAATATTAAGAGATCTATTTTGTACAGCATTAAATTCCCTTTAAAAACCAATATTTTTTTTTGGTACATTGAATTGTCTCAAGAAAATTTGGCATACTCTACCTCTGTCTGTCCTTCCTTGGCTAATTCTTGGTGAGCTTTTATCACCTTGTATGCATCAGAGTTGACGCCGGCTGTGGAAAGCATCTCCCCTCGTTCTTCAGGAGTTAAATTTTTTGAATTCTCTAGCAATTTCTTAAAGTCTCCATCTTGTAATTGCACCCTAAAAATGTCTGATCAAGTAACTTTCCATTATTGAGTCCGGTATAGTAACCTTTCTGCATTATTTGCGACAGAGTGTATCAGAGCTATTGTGCCACAAGCGTTAGAAACATATTGCTTCATGTAAAACAAATCGGGCACAATTATCTGACCCTTTTCTTTAATTTCTTCTGCTTCTTGTTTCGCAAATTCAAAATACTGCAAAGAGAATAAATTTTTCACTATATTAATACCCAGACAGATTCAAATGGTACCTTTGTATTGTAGGGAAAGAGCAAAATGAGGGCTAGGACTGGTTTAGGAACCCATTCTAGCGCGTCACCGTCTATTCCATATACGTCTACCACATTCCATTTTTCCGGCACGCCGAGAAGGTACATAAACTGGACGACACTTTAGCACATACATTTTAAATGAGATCATACTTACCTTATTCATTACCTAAAATTGTAAGTTATTTTGACAAATCACAACTAAATAGGTATAAACTCACATCGGGATTCGACTCAAGGGGAAGAAGAAGTGACATTTTAAATACCCTTTTTATATGGTTTGTATTTTGTAGTATTTAAGTGTAACACTTGTTCGGCAAAAGCATTAAAGGTTATATCCATAGATAAAGAACTTATATTTGAGGGTGGAAATTTATAGCAACTATGGAAAAAAAATCGGTGGTAGCACAGCATACTAAGGCAGGTTTTGGTGGTAGCCTTGCGTTGATTCGCGGATAATGATTCATTAGAAAGGAAAGAACGGTGTGACAAAGGCATAATGAAAGTGTTGATGATGAGTAGATTCGCAATGAATGTTATGCGATGTACGAGGGTAATTATATTCCGTTAATTGAATCATCGCAAAGGAAATTAAAAGAAAATGGCCGATTTGCTGGTAGTCGTGAAACATTGCACCGACGATCGTAGTTGCATTAAAGAGACCCAACGATTGGTGGAATGGGGGCAAAATATATGTAAAGAAAGATATAAACAAAGGGTGGCAAGTTTCTTAGTCGAGCTGCATTTTCAATGTACTTTCATCTATCCATTTTACACAGTGGGAGGTTGGGTGCCAAACGCTTTGCTACTTTTAGCACAAAAAAATTAATGACTGCTCATTAGACTACCAACAAGAAGTGAACTTTTTGAAAATCTAGTAATTTTTTTTTCCTTCAAATATCCTATCAGGCAGGTAATAGTTAATGATTAATAGTTAGGTATCAACGATCAGCAGCAAAAAAAAAATTGCAAGAGTTGCTTCGTCAGCATGACATTTAATTTGAAGATATTTATGCAAAAAACAACTAGTTGAGGTTTCCAGAACCAAATAGTATGATGGTATACAACATCATAAAAAATCCGCTATTATACCCCTTAGAAATGATTAATTAATCAATTAATTAAAAAACAAAATTAGACACTATAAATATCCGCCCATATACTTGATGTAATTAAAGTCAGTGTGAATGAATATCAGAGAGCGGTTAAATAAGATGGGGTAATTATGTACTTGAGGAGGAAAATAATTAATAACTTGGGACAACGTATCCTTGCCATAGCTTAAATTCAAACTGTTCGACTAGTTTTATTTAATTGTATTTATTATCTATATAATTCCAATTATACAGTACAATATAGTGTATTCAATTCAATGTCCTTACTACCCCCCTGGCCCGATGAAATTGTGAAAGTTATGTCATAGCATGACTGACATCTTTCTCTAATTCATTACTGGATGTCGTAAATTGATGCAGACATTTTGTTTGTCAGTTTTGAAATCCGTGTCAAAGGCCGCGTGAAAATTGTTAAATTTAGCGGATAATTAAATCGATTCAAATACCCCAATTGATTTGGTGAAAAAGAGCAGGCCCTTATTTTAAAACTTGTGGACTATTTCACTTGAGAAAAAAATGCGGGGAAACCGCTTTTACCCTTAAACGCTGTACACCATGTATTTACTGTCTCCATAGTTTAAACCATCTTATTTTTATGAACGAGCAATTTAAGTTTCTGAAAATTATGAATTAGGTAGGTACTTATTATGTCTAAGTTTGTGTGTTTTCAATGAATAATAATAATAATAATTTTATTTGAACAATATGATATGACAAAGTTATTACAAAGAAATAATTTCATTTACCTCTCAAAGTTTGGCTACTCTGCTGAACCAAACAGAGACAAACATAGTTTAACAAATTTATAAAAAATTTATCTACAGAAATTACGGTAATTATACCTGTGGAAATAAGTTAAATAAAATACAAATTATATATATTATAGTAATTTTTAGGATGTAACATTGGAGGAGAATGAATGGTTTTATAACATTTTTGAGTCGGTGATATGTAGGTACCATATTAGTTATTTTAGTTTAAGCCCGCTAATAGAGATTTAAAAGATATTTTTTATATTTTGGGTGGGAATTAAGTTGAAATACTTTACAGCATTGTATGAAAAAGAGTGCTGAAAGATTGCAGTGTTGTAATGAGGCATAGTTAGTTTTATATTAATATTGTGGACATTATTACGAAATATTAAACGATTTTTTTATGAAAACTGGCGGATTAGGGTTATTCATATATTAAACAAAAATGTCGAGAAATGTAGGATTCCTGTGTGGACGGTCACCTTTGTTTAACGTCCACATACAGGCCATGGAAAGAGTGCAGCATAGGTTCCTGCGGTATATAGCATTTAAGGAGCACCAAGGACTTGAGGACGTTGATTACTCTGAATTGGAAAACTCGCTCCAACTTACAAGTCTTCAGATTCGTCGCATGCAGAGGGATCTCCCCATTTTTTAAAATCTACTGCATTCAAAGGCCCATGGACCTGAGCTTTTATGGGCTTTTATGGGCTTCGCGTTCCCCCCGCCAGACCAGAATAAACTACTCCTTCCAGGTGGAGTTCCATCGTACCAACTATGGGCAGAATGCTTTTCTTACTAGGTCAGCTGCACTAGCTTTTCTGACCAACTTGACTGCTTCCAGAGTGCAAGAATATTTAAGAAAGAACTTAAAGACTGTCGGTAAAACTATTTCTTACTGTCCTTACTGTCGTGTCGACTAACTATACCAATATTTTTTTATTTTGGAAAACCAATGTTTGTCATATTAGGGTAAGGTCTTCATCTGTCTATTTCGTTCTGTTTTATTTTATTTTGTTGTTTACTATTTTGTTTATGTGAATCCTATTTTATATTGGGCGGTTGGCCCGTTGATAAATAAATAAATAAAACGAAATGTCCAAAATCTCAAAAATCAGGTGTCTACAGGGATCTTGTCCTAAAATTTATTTTGGACAAACAGAAACGCATTAACGAACATAAAAGAGCGTTTAAAAACAATAGTCTAGATTCTAATTATGCTACACACCTAAACACAGAAAAACACAGTTTTGACGACAATTTTGATATTTTACATACAGTTACAAGTAGAAAATTAAATTTATTGGAAGTCATGAAGATTAACAAAATGAGACATTCAAATGTATTGCTTAACGAGCGAATAGATTTAAATACCTCTCCATTATTAATCATCAGTATATATAGTAGCAGGTAGTTTGTAAATATTACATTTGATAAAGACACGATGTTATCGAAACAATTGTCATGTTAATATATATAATTTCGTGAAAACCTGAACTTTTAGTTCTTATTTATTTTGTGAAATGGATTTTCATCAAGTAAAAGCCACCTCAGCTCAAAAGCAGTCGGCCTAAAATTGATCCCCGAGGGACATCGAATAGAATTTTAGAATTTAGAAAAATTGATTGAGTATCGTGGTTTAGCCAGCAACAGCTCGTGATTAATTGTATAGAATGTCTTCGAAAAGTCTAAAAGCACTAAAATAGAACTTATTTTATTATCACAAGCTTGAAGAATTCATTTCAATTCAATTTTTGTACAAAAATCGTAAAGTTATTCATAAAGAATTTTTTCGAATATCTTCGACAAAGTAGGGAGAATACTTATGATACGAATGTCATTAAAATTTAAAGGATTTGATGTTTTTGGTAGGGTTTTATCAACAGAAATTTTTCATTACACCGGAACTAGCTTGTTTCAATGCAGCAATTTATAATGTACGTAATGTATTTATAAATAAAAGAGCTGCAGTATTTCAACATAAGTGGCTATATTTTCATCGACTCTGGTGATGTTAGTATTAATATTATTAAGAATTTATTTTACCGTAGATATATCAGTTACTTTAAAAGATTAATTTAAATTATTTTTATAGAAATTGTTATTATAAAAGTTTATTTTTGCTGGACAGTCTGACTTATTTTGTAGGTATGTGGAAAAAAGTTACTAGTTTTATTAGGATTTGATAAATGTTGAGGCGCATAAATTGAATTTTTTTAGAGCTGACCAAGTTTTTTTTGAAATTGTTTTTAAAGGTGCCAAGTGTCTTTTCTTATTGATGCTAATGTAATATTTCATAGATGTTTATAGCGTAATGCGTAAACGAAAATGACCACTGCGTTTTGCGGCTTCCGCCTTGTAATGCGATAGATATCCCGTAACATCTGACACTGTACTGAGTTTATGGACTGAAGTACTTGCTCAGATAAAATGATAATGATACTTCTGATGGAGAATTCATGACACTTTGTTTTAGGTTTCACCCGAAAAATGGAAGAACCATTGTAGACACACAGTCCGTCTGATAAGTGAAGCTTGAAAAAGGGAAAAGTTGGTCGATGCATTTCATATTCACCTCGGAGGCAGATATTTTTTTCAATGATGACTAGTTTTTACATTTTACAAAACTTCTGGATTCCTCCCGTAAAAAGTATTACAGTAGCCTGTGGAAGTTTAAAAAAAGATGACTAGCTTTGGTTCCCCTTCTTTGCTCTTTGTTTCGTTGTTTTTGTTGTAGAAACATTATCAGTTTTTCAAAAATAAACCTATCTAATTGATATTTTTTTCTCCTATATATTTGATGCGTTTTATTTTGCCTGGTCGTATTAATATGCCACTGAACCAAGTTGCCGTAATCTCATTATAACAAAATAATAATATGTAACTAAGTTCATGACATTTTTTTGCTTAAAACGAATGAATTTATTAAACCCCAAACTCTTCTAAAAATGGTAGCAATATATCTGAGACATACGGATCATTTTTGATTACGTCACTATATGCGACACAACTACACAACTGCTCTGATTGGAGTATGTCGGACTATGCAATTAAGAACTTCATAGGAAATGGCCAACAAAATTCAGCAATAAATCTGATCTAATATCATACATTATATATTATATCATTTATATTCATCTAGAAAAGTCCACTAGCACGTGTTTCGCTCGGCGTCGTCGTCAAGGTACGCGCCCCGTGCAACGACGGCGATCGATCCAAATGACGTCACGGTTTGCCAGCGGAGAGGGAGAAAATGGGATGACGTCATCGCTCAATCGTCTTTCCTTCGTTTCCGCGTTAAATGCTGCACAAATAACTGATCGTATACAACACGTATGTGTGATAGGACATGTTTTTAATGTTGTGAGGAGGTGCTGACACCGCCGCTAGTTCTTATGGTGTTGGGCAGGTTTAGGTATTGCGGAATTACGTAACGAGGATGTTCACAAAGGGGCTGTTTCCGGGTATACTGATTACGGCGCTAAGTTTTGCGTCGGTCAAATGTAAGTATGTTTTTTGCGACGGTAGTATAGTATTAAACCACCAGAAGGGGTGATCCGGTTATAGTAGATTACCTAACGGGTCCAGGTAGTGTAATCGATCCATTTTGCACGGAAAATCCTTGAATAAAATCAATAATTTGGAGAGACGTGTGTAATTGTTTCCGTAATATTTGCTGCCTCTTGATCAGTACGGGTACCTATGTAGTATATTGAAGATAATAATATTAATTAAAATTTGGTTCAAAATTAATCGCCATAACTTAGAAATCGAAATTATTCCAAAATATAAGCGGGCTATATCAAGAATGCACATAAACAAAGTACAGATCAATAGGTTATCTCAATAAAGTGATGATTTCTTTTAACGTAAGTTCAAAGACCCCAACTCTAAAGACTCAGTCACGAAACTACTTGCCGATGTAAAAAAAGAAGTCGAACTGCGATTCGCAACGTACACAGGAATACCTTCCAAACAAGATTTTACAGCCTAAATGAGCAGAAGCAATATCAATGAAAATATGAACAATATATTTTTAGTTATACGGGGTGTTTATATTTTGTTCGGTCCAATTTGGATTGCAAAAGGTCGTTTTTTTGTATGCTTATCCGGCTCAACAGGTTCTTCTATGTCAAAGTGACCACCGTGATATCTTTCAAACCCCACAAAAATATATTTTTTATTAATTTAGCTTTTTCTGTTCATCGGTAAAAGCAGAGATAAAGATCGTCTGTGACTGATATCGACCGATGTCGGTTGAGGTTATGTTGCGAAGTCTTCAACATCCCGTATGCTATTCTTAAATGATTACCGGTGAGAAGGAACTCGTCTCGACTCCCTCATATCAGGGTGGAATTTAAGAAGTGTGGTTTCATTTTATTGCTTTCTGGAGCTAAACTAATTACGCCATCTGCCGCGAATTGTCATCGAGCCTCCCTAAAAGTGGAAAGATTAGGTTCATGCGCAGTTCCTTGATTGAAATTTCTATTTAATGTAATGTAAGAAATGCTGTCCAATATGGAATCATGAACTGGAACTCGCTGGAGTTTTAATGAAGGATTGGACCATTTTTTGGTGTTTAAATTTGGGAAATTAGCAATGTTTGTAACTAAAATGATTCCGGAACATTTAGTGGTTTTAGTAGACTAAGTAATATGTACGATATTTGGAATTATTAAACTAATGACAACATAAATTTGCCAACACTTGCAACATACTTTTTTGGCTATTGCCTTTTCGAATGTGTAATTTTCAGGACTTATCTAGTTCTAAATAAAAATCATCATCTTAGTCACAAAGTAAATTATCTGATTATTTATATAACACTCCTCATGTATCCAGCAACATACAAACGAATCGCCTACCTACATGCATTCATTAGTAATCATTGACCACAGAATATCACTTGGACAGTACACTCATAGTACAAATGACATACTTTATTATACACAGAGTACCTAGATGAAGTAATAATATTTGGCAACGCGGCACTATAACAAACTTTGCCTCGTTTACCGCTGTCACTGCTTTCCCGTTAAAAGATGCAGCATTTCATTCATCGGAATACCAGTCTGCTACCGTTACATTCAAATGATTTAGCAAAATTAGCAAATTAATTATGTGATAGATTATGCTGATGACTGGTGACTACATTCTCAGTATCTGCGATGCGACGCTTGCATCAGAACGTTATAAATATGTGTACAATGTGTTTTGTATTTCAATTCTCCTTGTAACGGCTTAATGAATAGCTCGTAGCTCTGTAAAACATTAAATTAGTCAAAGTCGCGTCATCCAAAACGAACCAGAAATCACTCTCGCAAAGAGCGCTACACAAGAAAGATTCCAATAGGAAGAATAGGCTGACGACTAAGAGAAATTAAGGTTAGTGCCCAAAATTCCTATTGTTCTCCTTTCATCTTCCCTGGTTAGGACGGTGGAAATAATTTTAGGATTCTTAGTTTTAGGTTTAATTTTAAGAAATTTCAAAATCAATTAAATTTAAGAATGGAGATAAAGACGTCGACAATTTAAGTGAGTTTTTTATTTCTTTAAATTTAGTGGAAAATAAAGTAGAAAATAGTCAAACCAATTTAAAAATGAATTCTAATCAATCAAATGCAGGTCTAAATTACATTTTGTTAAAAATGTTTATAGACACTATTATGTCATATAATGGTGATCCCAACACTTTAAATAGTTTTTTATCAGCTGGAGATTTCCACAAATTATTTTCAAAACAACATTCACCACAATCAAAATTTTAGAATTAAGCATGATCAAAATCATTTTACTCCTCAAACTAGTAATTTTCCCAAAGGTCTAATTAATATGCCTCCACCACGCGAAGTTCCAAGATATTTTCATACAAATAGGCAAGTTTTTGGCTCACCTAAAAACGCTTTTAAACCGACAGGTCAGGTAAACCCGAACCTATGTCAAGGAGAACAAACTATTCCATACCACTTCAAAATAATCAAATTAACCATTTTAAACCTACTGGTTCTAAAAATTTCATTTCTCAAGAATTATCGAATCAACGAAAATAAAGCTGTACAAGCGGTGTTTGAAAATGGATATATTAACCAAGAGGAATACTCTGAAAATATTAAATTTGCAAATAAAGTTGAATACTTTAATAAAACTCAAAATTTTGACGAACATGCTGAAATCGAAAATCAAATTTCTCAAAATTTTACAATAACTAGCCAATGCGACCCAACGAAATAACATTAGAAATATTAATAATTATTATGAAAAAACTGTTGATTGGGAGTTACCCATTCAAAAATAAACCTAGATTTTCTGTTTATTTAAGTCAAAACTATCAAAATGAAATCATTAAATTCTTTTTAGATTATTGCCTGACATAGATTTAAATAGAGAACTATTTGTTTTGTTACCAAATATATTCAAAATCCATGGTTATAAATTGGTAATATCCAAAAGTCTTTTAACTGGCTCTACTATTGACCAAATATGAAAACTGACTTAATTTAATATATTAATAATTGCCAACAAACAAAATATGACAGACATCCTCCAAAATTAAAGTTTGCGTTGACATCGACCCCTTCGGAACCATTAGAATCCATTCATATGAATACTTTTTAATATGTAACGTAAAATTTCTTACAATTATAGACGTATTTTCACGGTACGCAACAAGCTTATCTGTTAGAACTCGCTTGCACAGCAATTGTTATCTTAGACGGTCTAGCGACCTTTCATCACGGCGTACCTCAACAAATAACGAATTTAAAACGTCTTTTAGATTTCTGTACATTGCATAAAATTTGCAATCAATTTTACCCTGGTAATTCTAGTATCTAGTAACAGTCAAATAGAGAGATTTCACTGTACTCTTATTGAACTATATAGGGTACTAAAATAAAAAAAAAACCTAAAGAAGCCCCTAAACATTTAATAAGATTTGTAATTATAGGTTACAATTCATCAATGCATAGCGTAACAAAACAAAAACCTTTTGATATCGATTTAACATTGTAAATAATTACATTGCAGATAAAGCAGAAAACCTACCTGAAATGAAACAAAAGACAAAGGTTTACGCAACTGACAAAATAGCAAAACGTAGTAAAAATAAACCCCGAAGAAAACCTGTTGTTGTAGAACAAGATATTGGTAATAAAATTATCACAAAAAACAAACAAATAATTCACAAATCTCAGATCCAGAAAGCTAAAGCTTTTTCTTCTTCGCAGGTTAATGAACCGGCAGCGCTGTTCCTTTTTGCAGTTACGGTATTATTAGTGATAGCGAATAATGATATTGAAGTTATCCCAATCAAAACACCTCTTCTAAACTTCCGCTTAGGACATGCTCGAGTTATTCAACTTCAACATACATTTTTTTGCATTTTGTAGAAACATCTCCACTATTTAATCAATTACGTAATTTAGAGTACGCTTACATAAACATAATTATCAAAATGTACACTATATTAATGGAAAAAAAAAGTTACGTAATAATGCAAACATGGTAATAACCGTACAAAAAGAGGTACTGTAGGTCAATTGCCGCAATAGCTTTTCAGATGATGGACAAAAATATGATAGAATTATGGCAGAACTTGTCCGTAGTAAACATTCATCTGACATCCAACTAAAAAAGTAAACCTCTTTGATTCGGCAGCTGATCGATAACTATGATGACGCTATAACACTTCTACAGAAAAATCAAGAAATTATTAAAAAACATATAGACATTTTTGAATATAATTCAAATAAAACTATTACTGACGTTACTACTACTTTTTAAAGCTCAAAATACACTAATGCAAATAATTCTAAATTGCCAATGTTTTATAACATTTTTAGATAATTTAGATGATGCCATTACATTTGCGAAATTAAACATTACTTCCTGCAGTAATATGAATTGGAATTGGAAATTCTTAAATTGATTATTCTCTATGGTGATGATCAAACTTTAATTTTTGAAAATCAAAATAATTATTATCAGTTAGCAAACTTACAATTTAAATTTGACAAAGATAAAATAATTTTTGCCGTGTTAAAGAATTTTTTGAAATGTTCCACCGATTCCCAGTACTCTGAAATCGCTCCTTATTGTACCTAATTTACCCTACCTAATATTGGGCACTGACATGCAACAATATCAACTTAGCCAGCCAATCGGTGATTGTGTGACAACCCTTATTAAATATGCCGAAAACAAGAATTGTCCCTTAGTGAATGTAAATGTTTCAACGGATATAATAGATTTGTCTTGATAATACCATCGGAACAGAAACTTACAATTTATTACATTACATTACAAATGAATTATCCAAATAAAGAAAATAGCCTTTATTGAAGAAGCTTGCCTAATCGATGTTCCGTATAATTGTGGTATAAGTACCCAAAATACTGAGCTTTGGAATAAAGACAAACTCACAGCTACAATCGATTGATCTTAATACAATCAAAAAACTACGAGAAGCTGCTAAATCATCGATCCCCCCCGACATTGGTTATGA